GTTAGAGGTTAAAACAAAATTATGGGAAAAAGATTCAAGAGATTTAAAAGGTTTTCTTTTTTTTTTTTTTTTTTTTTAAAATTCTCTTTCTCTAGATTCTTTGTTTTATAGCTCTCTTATTTAATAGCTCTCTAATTTTATAGCTCTCTAATTTTATAGTTCTCTTATTTTTTATTATATAGAGTTGTAGTTTTTTCTTCTTCTTCTATAAAAGAAAAATTACCGTACAAATTAGTTTGTGCGCAATTCGATTATCAGGGGAAGGTAAGAAGGTGGATATTCATTATAGAACATGGTTAGTAACTAATACCCCATCCTGCCCTATTCTCTCTCTCTCTCTCTCTCTCTCTCTCTCTCTCTCTCTCTACCCAATTACAAGCTCTACGAGACACTACACAACTTCAGAAGTCACGAGTTTGACATACGTTGTCAATATAATCTTCCTAATAAAAAAAAAAAAAAATTATCGGAGTTGTATTTTTTTCTTTTGCAATCAAGATGTTCCATTAGTAATGACCAATTAAAACTCTTCGGAGTCTTTTCTATAAAATCTGCAATTTCAAAATACATAGTATATTGTACTTTAATACTTTTCTATACTGTTTTATACTATACTGATTTTTGCTATACTGTTTTATGCTGTTTTCTATGCCATACTTTTTTATACTTTTTTCGGTATTTTCCATTTTTACCTTTTCTTTAAAAGAGGGGAGAGAGGGGGTTCGCAGTTGAAGAATCGATCCCGTATATATTGACATGACCAATAACAATTCATAAAAACGAGGTGATCAATGGCTCAAGCTTGACTTTGTTATTAAGTTAAAGTATACCATTTTTTTCTCCTGTGGTAGCGCTTTCCCTAACAATTCATTCTGTAAAAGCATTACCGGGGGGGGGGGGAGAGGAAGCTGAAGATTAACCATTTTTTTTTCGCTTGCGGTAGCGCTTTTCTTTCTTTGTCGTTAGAATTATTTGAGACACGAAAAAATGACAATGCTCTCCTTAGAGATGAGATGAGATGAGATGAGATGAGATGAGGTGAGATATGGGGAATGAATGAATGATAATTTTACTTTAGTTATGCTATGGTTATCCAATTGGAGGAATGTCTATCTTTTTACTATCCCCTTAAGGTTTGTGTTTGCCTTATCAAACTCCTATATTCATCCAGATGAACATTTCCAATCTGTTGAAGTCTTGACTAGTAAGATATTAGGCTACGAAACGCACATTCCTTGGGAATTTGAGACTTTTCACGCGGCAAGAAGCTTTGGTCCTTTATATGTGTTATATGGCCCATTGTTGTATCTTGTCAAATACTTGGGACTCGAATTGACGCCAATCCAGATTTGGTACTTGCTTCGTTTGCAAATGTGCATCTTGAGCTGGTTGGTTACTGATCTATGCCTTTATTGGATGTTACCTTCAAAGCAGGAAAGAATCAAGGCTATTTTTTTTACGCTGACGTCTTTCGTCACATTGGTATTTCAAAACCATTTATTTTCAAATAGCGTCGAGACTTTGGTGGTGCTAGTGGCGATTTATATCATTGACGATTTGAGGTTTATCCAAGAGTCAAAACTGTTGTTGCACGTGGATAAAAGCAAATCAATATTTCTTCTTGGTGCAGTCTTGTCATTTGGAGTATTCACCAGAGTCACCTTCCCGGCATTTTTACTTTTCCCTAGTTGGTATTTGATCACATATTTGGCATCCCATAGGTTATCACTCGCTTATTTGACTTTGGGATTTGTATTACCAACATTGGCTTTTATTTCGCTTGACACATACTTGTTTGAATCAGATGTCTACATCGTGGCACCTATAAACAATCTCCTTTACAATTCAAGGGTTGAAAACTTGTCCAAACATGGAATCCATCCCTTTTACACTCATGTTTTGGTAAATCTTCCACAACTATTAGGACCAGGCATCTTATTTATAATGTCTAAAACTTATATGCGTACTACTCAATTTCTTTCAGTAGCGAGTGGTTTACTTTTATTGTCAATAGTACGTCATCAGGAACTTCGTTTTTTGATACCGCTCCTACCACTATGTTGTTGTTGCTTTGATTTTAGGCAAAAATGGATTAAATCTTGGATGGTTTACTTTTGGTATTTCTTCAACTTGGCAATGAGTATATTGATGGGCGTCTACCATCAAGGAGGCGTAATACCGGCAATTGAATACATGAGAGAACAAGATAAACAAGGCGTGCAGATCTGGTGGCATACATACTCTCCTCCATCTTGGTTATTAGGTAGCACATCGGTAGAAACGGTATCGATATCGCAACTGCTAGACAACATAACAAATTACAATAAAAACTATACAATAATAGATGCAATGGGGACAGATTTGCAAATGGTTACTAATCTACTTGAAAATGTGGGAAAACCTGTTTATTTAATTACCCCATTAGCATCTTTCCGGTCCTTCAACGCATCTGCATTCAAACCCATCTGGAACTATACTTACCATATAGATCTTGACCATATAGAATGGCCAAATTTGCAAAGCGGATTAGGCGTATATGAATTATTATAATACCAAACAAAAAAAAAAAAGATATAACATATATATATATATATATATATATAGAACTTTTTTCCTTTTTCCTTTTTAATTTTTCCTTTTTTGTTTTTTGTTTTTTGTTTTCTTATTTGTAGAATTCAAATTTGTCATGTTCGGTACCAGTCTTGACTTGTGAATTATAAGCTTCTTCCAAATCGTTTTGTAGTATCATGTATCTATTCTTTCTTACAGCTCTTAATCCTGCCTCTTGCATAATTGCAGCAATAACTGCTCCCGATAATGGGTCGTTTCTAATAATCAACGAGTCCAAATCAACTTCAGGAGCAAGTGACATCTTTGATGCAATTGTAGTAAAAATTAACCTCCTTTCTCTTCTATCCTTCAAGTTTGGAAACTCAATCTTTCTATCTAATCTTCCCGGTCTCAATAGTGCCGGGTCTAGAGTATCTGCTCTGTTTGTAGCCATAATAACTTTCACATTCGAAGTCTGGTCAAATCCATCCATTTGATTCAATAATTCCAACAAGATTCTTTGCACTTCACGATCAGCTCCTGTTTGTGCATCAAATCTCTTTGTTGCAATTGCATCTATCTCATCGATGAATATTATTGCTGGTGAGTTTTCTCTTGCTAACCTAAACACATCTCTAACCATTCTTGGACCTTCACCGAGGTATTTCTGAACAAATTCAGAACCGTTTATCCTAATAAATGCAGCTTTTGTTGCATTTGCAACTGCCTTCACCAACATGGTTTTTCCAGTGCCCGGTGGCCCATACAATAAAACACCTCTTGGTGGATCGATACCAATTTGACTATATAAATGAGCCTGCTCCAAGGGCAACTCAACAGACTCAACAATTTCTTGTTTTTGCATATCTAGACCTCCAATGTCCGCATATGTCACATCGGGTTTCTCGTTTTCGCCAACTATTGATATCGAGGAGTCTGCCTCTGGAGGTAAAATGTCAACCAAAGCATTGGAATGACGGTGCAACGCTACTGATGAAGATGGCTTTAGCAATTCTCGATCCAAAGTAGATAGAATACGCACTACATAGTTCGAGCCCGTAGTCGATGAAACAATCCCTGTATTCTCATCAATCGGCTCCAAAAACTGTCCAATCACTAATGGCACCGATTTGATTCTCTTCACTTCCTCCTGTGCGCGTATCAACTCTCTTTTCAAATGACGCTGCTCATCCTTGATATATTCTTCTTGTATTTTCAACATATTGAGCTCCTTCAAAAGGCCCTTATGCTGTAAGTAAATGTCCGTACCACCTTCCATTATCTTTCCAATACCCTCCTAGTCTATGAACAAGTGGCGAACTTGCTTGAAAGAGTCAACAAAAAGAGAAGATGAAAAATTCCAAAGTGTGTCCAGAAAAATAATAATCATGCGACACCAAATGCGACACAGAAGAGGTGCTATCTATAGTTTATCTATTTATAAATTAGGGTGAGTATACTTCCAAGACTACACGATAATATGCTAATGATTAAAGTGAAAATTCCAAACTCGAGTTTATCAAGCTTGAGGTAATGGATTTCCGGTGAAGTTAGTGCCACGTAGTTTGTAATGCACAACTGTTTGAGTTTTTGCCAACCTTGGATTGATTTCTGCTTTGCATTTTCATATACTCCGTGTGCTGTAATTACCAGAGGCAGTAGCTGGTGTTTTTCATCTTTGAAATCACCAAGTAGTGGTATTTCTTGTTCCTGTTTCTGTTCTGCCTGTTCTGCATTTACATTTTCTTGCTCCATTTTATCCAATATTGGATTCAAAATCGCTTCATCCTCTTTGGATATCCCAACTAATACTGACTTGACTTTATCCTCAAATCCCAACACCAATTTTTTCCTCTTCCAAGGCTCAACAAGGAAAGTCGCCACGACAAATAATAAAACATTTAGTCCCATCAAGACCCAAGTTCCCCAAGTAGAAGATCTTCTAATTTTATCGGACCAAATTTGTTCTTCGTGGTACCTTGTCAAGATCAGTTGCGTCAATTTCAACTGGATCCCGTCAACTTTCAGCTCAGCTTCTTCCAATTGTTTCTCGCAGTTTTGCACCCAATGTTCATTTTCGTGATCATTTCTATACAACTCAGTGAATCTTTCCAAGTCTTGTGGCGACCAATTATGCTTCCTTGTCAATAGCTCATTCACCTCTCGCTGAGAATGCGATCGTTTTTGAATGGCTTCGCCATACTTGACTTTGCACTCTTTGACATACTTCTTAGCTTCCTTTAGATCTGCTTCTTGTTCCTGAATGGAAATCTTTAATTTCTCAATTGCCGAATATCCTGTAACATCGTTGAGGGCTCTTGTGACCGTGAGTATTGTGTCATGAGCAGAGTCCAAATATTTGGTTATCTTTTTGGTCATAGCACTCTGGTTTTGCTGTTTCTGAGAAGGTAGTCCGCTTATCTCCTTTTGAATAGAGTCATTAATCTCCTTTGCCAAATTAGGTATATCCGAATCGTCAACGGCGCCTTCAGTAGTGGCAATGATTTTATTTTCGACACAAAGTCCATCCTTTGTAGTATCTCTTAGAGTATCTTTACCCTTGAGCTTTCCTGACTCTGTTGACGAGAAATTGGCTCTATTTTCTTCATTAGCATCGGCGATTTTTGCCTCGCGATCACCTCTCTTTTCTCTCTGTCTTTCCACCTGTCTTTCTTTTTCCAATATCTTTCTTTCTTCTTCAAGTTTTTCTTGTTTTGCCGATTCTGTTCCAAAGTTTGTTCCCTCAATAATTTCTCTTAGCTTGGCATCGTTGAATTGTGATAAATGGTTGGGCTTTTTCGACTGTAATCTAATACAACAGATATATAGAGGACGTCGAACGAAAAGCCTTGACGCTCGTAGAACTGAAAACATTTTATGAAAATCGGCAATTTCAAAGTGAAAAATTTACAAAACTCGGCTTTATCCGTTTGAAAAATCAACAGAGAGAGAGAGAGAGAGAGTAAGCACATAAAGAAGAAAAGAAAAAAAAAAAGAAAGAGTTCATAATTATACAAATGAAATATATATAGCTTTCATAAAGAACCAACCCAGTAATTGGAAATTCAATTAACTCGTGTTTATTTTTTTTTTTTTTTTAAGAAGGGAGTCTTGTTAAAAATTTGAGTCGACCAAATTCTTCACCAATTTCCAATCGTCTGTTTCTGCGTAATCCAAAACAATGATTCCTACGCCTTTTTGAAAAGTATCCTGAATGTTTCCATTTAGCATTGCTTTTGCTACTGGTTCTGGCCAACAATCTTTGTCAAAAAAATTTGATCCCGAAGTGAAATTGAGAAACAATTTGTCATCGTGATCACGAGTATAATCTTGAGCTCTCTTGGCCAAATTTTTGACGTATTCAATCTTTTTTGGTAAATCTATTGATTTTTGAACTTCGCAGAAATCTTGAACCACAAATGTCCCGCGATCGTCGTCAGTAGTATTGTATGACCATACAGAAGCCTCAAACCCAAATTTATTTCTCAAATCCTCATTTCGGACTCCAAATCTTCTAAATAAAATAATCTTTCCACGTGCATCTCCAGCTCTGGGGATATCTGTATTCAAGTACCATTTTTCCTTATTTGGCAGAATATAATGTTCCCAAATCAAATTGCCAAACTCGTCATTTTCATTGTCCCAGTCGTTTGATCCCTCTTGTTTGAGTGAAATAATCACTGTCTCCCTTGGATTATTCTCAACAAAGTCGTACACTTCTTTCAATACATCGGTCAATTCAAGAGGAAAAGGGATTTTCACGGGGAATTTACCATGAATCACTTGTAAATCATTCTTGTTCTTACCAACAAATAACCTGCCCACTCTGATATCAAGAAACCTTACTCCGTGTTCCAATTGCAGCGTTATACTTTCGCCTTGGCATTGAACTGATGGCAAGGCTGTATGACATGCGCCTGAATTGTGTGTTCCAGGGATTGAAAGTGTTGAAATCTTAGTATCATCTGGGATCTGCTCGATCCAATTTTTGTAATTAACCATATTATTATTTTTTTTCCTCGTATGGGAATTTCATCGTGGTGGCCGTGATGAAGATCGTGGTGGCAGGGATATAGCCGCATTTAAATATTACGCCCCCAATTCGCTTCCTCTGTCCCTTTGTGGAATTGTCAAAAGCAACTGAAAAATTATCCTGCACAAAAGCTATAAAAAAATTATACTCTAGGCAACTACAGGAAGTCAAAGTGAGATTTTTTTAAGGGGTATTTGTTTCAAAAGCCTCTTAAGAAAGGCGATTTGCACCATCTTGTATCAAGGATCCTCAAGATGATAAGATAATAGTGGAGTGATAGTAACACCTAGTAATAGAGTTGGTCTTTTGCTAACACTTATGAGTGATATGTCTTACAATGGTAGTTAAGTTAGAGAATAGATTATAATAGTAGATCCTTCTTCCACCGACCATGCTCCTAATTTTGGCTCAATTTCATACAAAATCTTTTAGAAAGAAAAAGTGCACAACTATAAAACTGTCTACTCAATGCTCCACTATGGAGCTAAGCGAGTCAGTGTCGATGTAGTCAATGTGCTCTATTATCTCGCTTCACTTCTTAGTGTCTCCTTTAGTGTTGCTACTATGTTTTGCTTCCCCTAGTGTCGAGTCGTGTATTTACAAGATGAGCTTATATGGACAGATTATTGAAAAATTCACCTTAACCAAATAATAATAGCCATGCAAAGAATGAAGTATATTATAGAGCATATGGAAGAAGGATTTTCAGAATGGGTGATTCTTGAATATGCACAGATTATAAGGGACATTGGCAAGGATAACCTTATTCTCACTTCGTTACCTGAAAACACGACTGAGTCAGATATTCCTCAACAACTTCGTGACTTGGGTTTACAATGGAGCACTAAAGAATGCGTAGAGATTATTCAAGCAGAAAATGCCGGGGAAATCAATAAGGACCAGGTTTGTCTATTGGACCCTGCAGCAGAGGTGGATTTAGTGCCACTGGAAAAATCAAAATTCAAATATTTTGTATTTGGAGGAATACTAGGTCAACATCCTAGAGTTGATCGTACTGGTATTTTACGTAAGAAATATGGGTTTGCAGGTAGAAGATTGGGTAAATTACAAATGACAACAGATACCGCTATTAGAACAACTCAACGGATAATCGAAAATGGCGTAGAATTTAACAAGATCAAGTTTTTGGATTATCCTGAAATTAAATATAATAAATACGAATCTACTGAAATGCCATTTAGGTATATTGTTGATGATATCAAGGGAGAGCCCATATTACCAAAGGGCATGTTGGAGTTGATAAAAAAAGATGCAGATCAAAGTATTGACGACTTGCTCATTAATTAAAGTGCCTTCTTTTTAACCACCACCACCACCATCGTAGTAGTAGTAGTCTTTTAACGCGGTTGAGTTTTGGATAAAACTTGTTTCAATATAAAGCCAGCTGTGTTCTCATCTTCAAAATACGAAATGTGAGCACTCACGGCAGAAACAAGGGAAAAATCAAGCACACCCATGGGTAAACTATAATCAATTCTTCCTGATTCGTTCAATGCAGCAAGTTCAGTCAACTCATCTTTGGTGAATTTTAAATCAGTTGACATTTTTGTAGCTTTTTCAACTTCTTTAGCATCCGAAAATGCAATGCTTGTAATTAAATCACCCAAAGCATTTTCCTGAGCAGCTCGTTCCTCAGCACTTTTCCCTTCTAGTTTGGCATCGCCCTCCTCTTTTTCCGTGTTTTTAGTAAGCTTTAACCACCTTGCTGCAGAAAGTATTTTTTCTGATATTTCATCACCTATACTTGCTAACCCTTGTATTTGGCTATCAAGTCCCTTGACTGCGAAATTCACCGGCACGGCTTTGAAATCTCCAAATCTTGGAAAGACTAATGGTTCTATTCTGTATGCTACTGGATCACAGGGATGAAATAAGTTGTACAAGTTTCGACATTTGGGGGAAACAATGGTTTCGGAATGTTTTTCAGACTTACTCGAGGGTGAACATCTTGCTCTAATATTCTTTCCTTCTAAAAGTTTGAACATTCCCACAGGAGAGCCCACAAGAAACAAGTTTTCAACGTCGAAATCGATATCTTTGTCAAGTTCAAGCGGAGGACCATTCAAGGTTCCTGATTGTTGGGATAGAATGTCGAATGCAATAGCGGATCCTAACGAGTGGCCAAATATGTGAATTTTACCCTTGAAATTTGGATTTCTTTGCTTGTATAGTTTACATACTCGATTGAGCTCAGATATTACTGCTGTGAATATTTGCTGGAGATATTTCGGTTGATAGTATAGCAATACATCGAGCACAACGTCGCCAACAACGTTTCGTAGTGCTTTTATTCCATCAACGTTGATTTGTGATAATGTAGGCAATTGTGAATTTTCGTTTTCTTTTTTTGTTTTTCTTGGTGAGAAATCAACACGATGTCTCCATGAAATGGGCAAGACTTGAATCCTGTTGTTCAGTTTATCCTCTTGACCTTTAGTATAGGCTAATTTATGATACTCTTCGTTTTCTTCAAATACTTTTCTCATTTTACTTCGGAGAACGTTAACATTGTGAGTAAAATTAACTGACTCGTACGTACTGCCCAAAACTTGACCGATTCCATGTATGCATAATATCAAATGGTCAACTGTTCTATTTGATTTTGTTTTCGAAGTGTCCAGATCATAGTCTTCCTCAAGGTAATGTTGCATGTGCTTGTCATCAATTTGGTTTTCAGTTTCGCTATCAACCGTTTCTACTACTACTTCATTCCCTTTCACATTATCACCAGCTTTAGACCCGAAAACAAATCCAAATTCCTTTTGGAAGCTATCGGCAATGCTTGGAAGTGGATTCTCCTGAATTTTAGCAAAAAGTGTCTTTTTAAATTCTTCTGTGTATCCACGCTGTATATGGTCAACGCCAAGTAATGACACGGGATTGGGGCCAAATGATCTAATCACATCCATTTGGAAGTCAGAATCATAGTTTTCGGGGAATAAAACAGCCTGGTTTTTGTTAAAGTACAATACGTGTTGACCATTGCTTAACTTGTAAACGTCCTTTTGTTCAATTGCTCTAGTCTCTTCCGCCTTCCGCTCCTCCTTTAGTTCCGCTTTTTCCTGCTTCTTTTTCTGCATATCATTGAACTTGGAGATTCTATCTTTATTCAACTTTGGTTTCTTCTCGTTCGCTTTGGCTTCAAACAAATACGGCTTAACCAACTTGTAACCAGTTTCAATCTCTTTTGCAATTTCATTCGGTAAAGGTGCACCGTCACTATTAAACCAGATACCCCTCCTTACCTCATACACTGGCCCATCCCAATAAACAGGCTCCAACTGCAATTTCGCAACATCCACTTGAAACAATTTATCTTCATTTACCTCTACTGGATGAGATACTTGTCTCAAAAACCCGCCTTCAAGTATTTTCGAGTCATACTCTGAAAAAGGGATGAATGACTCAGGCTCTTTGGTTTTTTCATAATGGAACCATTCTGGTTTGGATATGGGAACATCGGAGGCATAAAACCATCGTACGTTTGCTTTTGGTATGTCTTGTGTGTGATTCAGTGAAGAAGAAGAAGACGAGGAAGACGAGGAAGACGAGGAAGAAAATTTAGTTGTTGCAGTTCGAAAACTTAGTAGTGATAGAATGGATGTTGAGTGTAGTTGGACATTGTTTACAACAAAGGGTAGTGTTCTTGTTGAATAAAGCATTGCATTAAAATACTTGCCTTCATCAACAAAGTGTAATCCATAATTTTCAAAATTGATTTCATTTTCTGACCCGAGACTTATTTGTTACGAGTAGGACAATTTTGCGAGAGCAGAGCAACTATACAAAGATCATTTTATAATCAGAGCGTCAACTGCCAATACTACTACCCTTTTTTTTTAGTTTTCCCTTGAACGGAAAAAAGAAAGGATGCAATAGTGGCATACCAGGAGAGAGAGAAAGAGAAAGAAAGGGAGAGAGAGAAAGAGAAAGAGAAAGAGAAAAAGAAAGAGAGGGAGAGGGAGAGGGAGGGAGAGGGAGAGAGAATGAGAGATAGATAGATAGATAGAGAGTATACAAGAGAATGAATGATTTATAAGGAGATGGTCATATCATTATTAGTTTTTAGCTAAAAAAATACTTCATATTGCTTTTATGTCAAACCTGGAGACGGCAAGGTTAGCTCCCCAATAGGCCATTTTAATACTGCTGCATTTGAATAATCACTGTATACTCTTGTATTGGGAATCTTGAGACCAATGCGAAGATATATCAAGATATTATCACTTGAGTCTTTTAACCCATTTTTCAAGCTATTTTCAACCCACCTATAAAGTGGTGTAGATGTGTTTGTTAGCAAGCCCTTCAAGTTGATTGCTGATTGCAAATCATTCAGTACGTATTCTTCAATGTCATTGATGAGCAATGAGACGGCAGAGTATTTGGTATAGATGTTGTTGTTGTTGGTATCACCACCGTTAAAAGGTACCTTCTGCCAACTTAACATACCCGAAGCTCTGTTGTACTCTGTGATTATTGGCGGTACCAAAGTGCCAAGTGGATCATCTCTTTTCAAAGAAGCTACGGTCTCGGCAATTGCAGCTAGTCCCCACCTGGAAGCACCAGAAAGAAACAAACCTAGTAAAACACCTTGAAACATTAATGCTGTTCTTCCTCGTGTGGCACAACCAGGAATCAATAGCATGGCTAATATGTAATGGTGTACCCTTAGTGTAAGTCCCGGTAATAAGGCTATACACATTAACCCGATAATAAACAAGGAGTAAACAAGTAGATATTTTTTAAACCGACCAGAAAGCCAGATCTTGTATGCTTGGATCACAGCACAAAAGCATACGATTGCAACTATTAGAGAAACCGCTAATATGGCATCAGGTAGCTCTTTCAAATCAGCCTTGGTTAGTCTATCCACAGGTAATCTATCAAATGTAACATTATTCAATACCCCTAGCCAAAAAAAGGGATAGAACAAGATGACCCGACTTATGTAAGAAACCTTCTCGTTTGGCAGCGTTGGCTCCAGTAGAGTTCTCTTTGTCGAAAAGTGCCACAAGATGTATAATATTGAACAAGTTGGTAAAAATCTTTCTAAACCAATGGAGATCAAATTAGCAAAATCCTGAGGATTTGCTGCATCAACTCTCAAGGGGGGATCTGTTGCCAAACAAATTGTCCAAAAACCAACAATGGTCATTGTCCAATATGCTACTGCACCACTTGCTAGATATATGATTGGAAGTCCTAATATGATATTGACAAGTAAGACAAAAACCCTAGGGTCGGTGCATTTTGTAAAATATTCGCCATTAGATCTCAATGATTTGAAGAAAAAGGAAGATTTGAAAAAAGAATCAAATGCGATTGATGGCTTTACCCCAAAATGACCTTTGGCGGAATTAAAATAGGGCTGGTCTTTACTTTTGTAGGATAGTCTTGCACAACCGCCCCATAATGGTGATACAAGACCCGCATGTACTGCGGCACCGCAGGGATAAGAGTCTGCTCTATAAGGGTTTGTTAATTGATTGGAATCAATTTTATGCACCACCTTATTCCCTCCACCAACAAAATAACCTCTATATTTGATTCTCTGATTGCCGATTGGAACTAAGGAATAAGTCCAACTACCGCGATCACACAATGCCGGGCATCGTATAATCACATCTTGATCCTCATTGGTCAACTCGTTTTCAATTTCAGGACATAGATCCCCATTCATTCCGCAAGCTGCATTTTTACCTTGCCAAAAATCAGTCAGAGTTGTGCATGATAACGAGTAGACGTGAGTTTGTGGATTTTCCGACGAGTGTGGAGGTACTCTTAAATAGGGTATCAATATTGAATAGCAGAGACCAAACCAAAATAATAGATATGCAATCAAAATGAGTCTCCTGTGTTTAAGTTTTATTCGATCTCTGAATTTGACTGGCAAATCTTCAAAATACAGCAATCTCTTGAAAATAGGAGCAAACTCATCCTTTGGCTCTAGCGGACCTTGCCATACTTTGTGACAAAAATGTCTGATTTTGGCTGCAAATTTACTCAAGCCAGTAGAAGGATATGATGGGGAAAAAGTATGGTGTTGCTGGTTATCACCAAGAATACCTTCGTTGTCTGAGTCGGATTCGTAATCTTGTCCCGCGATTAGTTGGGCACTTGACATCTTTGTATTGGACACAGCAACAAAAGAACTTTTGAAATCGGTTAATGGTATACTACTAGTAGTATCGGTGTTGTAGACATACGAATCTAGTGCTGTGGAAGTATTAGTAGTAGTAGAAGAAGAAGAACAAGTAGTAGTAGCTGATTTGTTATCATCAGTACTACTTGTGTCAAAATCTAGACCTATTTTACTGCTTCTAGCTGTCGCTATTATCTGGTCTACTGCATCAATACTACTCTCTTTTAGGACCATAGAAATTTTTTGTATGCTAAATATATAGCACTTGAATTATAAGCCTTCAATTTAATATCAAAGAGCGCTAAACAAAGAGAAAGAGGAAAAGAAATAGAGGAAAGAGGAAAAGAAACCAAGGGGCAAGAGGAAAAGAAACGGAGAGAAGAAGGAGGGAGGATAAATTTAATGCGCAAGGTAGGTCAGCAAGAGCCCAGGCCCACCAATATATACTCTTTAAAAGACAACTGACACAATCACAACAAGTCCACACATTGAAAACCACTTTGTCTCTTGTCTTTATTGCCGTCTTCAAAACCCGCCCGTTGTTAGTCGAGACACGCGGCCCAATCGGCAAGTTTTTTCCCTCCTTTTTCCGCTTTATCGCTTTTTCCCCTTGTTTGAGCTTCCGCCAAGAGAAAGATTGCTACTCTCTCAGATCTCCCCCCTTTTGCTTTTAGTTTTTGTTTTTTTCTTCTTTTGTGTGCGTCAATTCTCCGATTCTAAGAAGAAAAGATTTCCTAATAACTAGTTTAGGGACGCACATTAGAAAGAAGTTTACTCAACAGATTTTTAAATCCGATTAGATCAAGGTTATACCGTTACAGATCTGCCGGAAATGTGCATAGTTCGATATTGAATACTCGGAATTGAGATGTTATACAGGGCTTGGGAGAGGGAGTGGGAGTGGGAGAGGGAGTGGGAGTGGGAGAAGGAGTGGGAGATATGGTCTAACTACATGTTTCTTTTTAGTACAACTCTAGTACAATTTGTTTACTACAAAAAAAAAAATTCTATCCTACACCCCAGCTTAACCAAAATAATTGGGCTCTTCCTTTATTAAAACTTTATTTTAGGTTATTATTATTTTTTTTTTTTGTTTTTTTTTTTTCCTAACCAGAACACATTGTACATGATTCTGGATTATCAATAGCACAAGCAATCACTTTAGCACTATAGATATCACTTTCAATCTCTTCTATTGATTTGTCTTCATCTTGTTCCCTCTTTTCCTCTTCTTGTTCCCTCTTTTCCTCTTCTTGTTCCCTCTTTTCCTCTTCTGGTTCCTCGTTTTTATTGTTGATTTGCAAATCAGCCATAGAAGTCTCTAGTGACGTAGGTTCGGTTGATGGACTATTATCAAATGAATTGTCTGATTCTCCCGTGATAGTCCTCCTTTTATTCAAATACTTTCTTCTATTCAATTTGCTCAAATCAGCTGCAATATTACCTGCACTTTCTGCCACTCTCTTATCGATTGTAAATTGAATTGCGGCAGAGGCAGCTTGTGTTCTTAAATAGTACATCCCCGTCTTTAATCCCTTTTTCCATCCATAAAAGTGCATACTGGTCAATTTACCCATGGTTGGCTCTCTAATGTGAATATTTAATGATTGCGATTGGTCAATGTATGCAGACCTATCTGCAGCCATATCTATTATGTGCTTTTGGGATATTTCCCAAACTGTTTTGTATAGTGCCTTGATTTCGTCTGGAATATTTGGCAACCCTTGTACCGACCCGTTATTGGCAATAATACTACTCTTCATGGCATCGTTCCATATTCCCAAATCAACCAAATCTCTCAACAAGTATGGATTAACAATTTGGAATTCACCCGCCAACACTCTTCTAGAGTAAATATTGGATGTATAGGGCTCAAAACACTCATTATTACCCAAGATCTGTGATGTTGATGCAGTAGGCATTGGTGCAACTAGTAAAGAATTCCTCATACCATGCTTGGCAACCTTTGCCTTTAATGCATCCCAGTCCCACAACTCTGTTGGCTTTCTATTCCAAAAATCAAATTGCAATATTCCTTGAGATGCAGGCGATCCTTGGTACGTTTCATAAGGACCTTCCTCTTGAGCCAAGTCAACAGAAGCTTCAACTGCGGCATGATATATAGTTTCGAAAATTTGAATATTCAATTCCCGTGCTTCTTGTGAATCAAATGGAATTCTCAAAATCATAAAAGCATCGGCCAAACCTTGCACTCCAAGAGCAATTGGTCTATGCCTCATATTCGACTTTCTGGCTTCTGGAACAGGGTAATAGTTACGATCAATAACTCGGTTCAAGTTACGTGTAACCACCTTGGTGACATCGTGTAATTTATCAAAATTATACCAAGTATTCTTTTCGTCCTTTTCGATAAACGATGGTAATGCAATTGAAGCCAAATTACAAACGGCAACTTCATCTGGCGCCGAATATTCAACAATTTCACAACACAAATTAGAAGATTTTATGACACCTAAATTCTTTTGATTCGACTTGGCATTACAAGCATCTTTGTATAACATAAATGGAGTACCTGTTTCTGTTTGACACTCCAAGATAGAGTACCATAATTTTTGGGCTTTAATGGTTTGTCTACCACGGCCCTCGCGAACGTATTTTTCATACAATTCTTCAAACTCGTCACCATAAACATCGGATAAGCCTGGTGCTTCGTTTGGCGAGAATAATGTCCAGTCACCATTCTGCTCGACTCTCTTCATAAACAAATCTGGAATCCACAATGCTGGAAACAAATCTCTTGCTCTAATTTCTTCCTTACCATGGTTTTTTCTTATTTCAATAAAATCGAAAATATCACTATGCCATGGCTCAAGGTACAAAGCAAAAGCACCGGGTCTCTTGTTACCACCTTGGTCAACGTATCTAGCAGTGTTGTTAAAGACACGAACCATTGGAATAATACCATTTGAAGTACCATTAGTACCAGCAATGTACGCGCCTGTTGCCCGGATATTATGTATATGTAAACCAATACCACCAGCAGATTTTGAAATTAAAGCACACGTCTTCAACGTGTCGTAAATACCTTCGATAGAATCCTCCTTCATTGCAATCAAGAAACAAGAAGACATTTGTGGTTTTGGAGTACCTGCATTGAATAAACAAGGTGAACCATGAGTGAAATATCTTTCGGACATCAAGTTATAGGTCTCGATAACACGGGGAATGTCTCTACCATGGATACCAATGGCGACTCTCATTATCAAATGTTGTGGTCTTTCGGCCACTTTGCCATTTATACGCAACAAATACGATCTCTCCAAAGTCTTGAAACCAAAATAGTTGTAGTTGAAATCACGATCATAAACAATAGCAGAGTTTAATTCGTCCTCGTTTTCATTGATAATATCCAATGTCTCTTTTGAAATCATTGGTGAGTGCAAACCGGTTTCCGGGTTGATATACTCATACAACTTCCTTGATACTTGTGAATATTGTTTTGTTGTTTGTTTGTGTAAATTGGATACAGCAATTCTTGCAGCTAAAACGGCGTAGTCTGGATGTATTGTGGTCATGGTAGCAGCAGTCTCAGCAGCTAGATTATCTAGCTCAATTGTAGTGACCCCTTGATAAACACCTGAAATAACTTTTTGAGTAATTGCAACTGGCTCAACATGATTCGAATCTAAACCGTAACATAACCTTTGAACTCTAGCAGTAATCTTGTCAAAACGCACAGGCTCTTTTCTACCATCTCTCTTATAGACATACATGGCTTGGCTAAAAGGTCACTTGAGAATATGTCTGCAACAACCTAACCTCTTGTGAAAGGAAAAAGGAAAAAGATTGAAAGAAAATTGAAAAGATTCAATGAATAAGAAAAACGAGGTGATATTTAAATACAAAAGTTTTTTTTTTGTAAAGACGCGGACGCGTTTCATCGCTTAACAAACAAAGCAAATGAATTTTTTTTTTTTTTTGGCGTTTTCTAGCGTTATGAGGATTAATTTTGTATGTTATTGTTGTGATTTCAGTATATTGTGAAAAGAAACGAGCAAAGAAGAGGGAGAAACATTATCGAATGGAGCTAGATAGTGGAGAAATACTAATGGGGGAGGAATAATGGGAGGAGAGGGAAGAGGAAAAGGAAGAAAAAGTGTAGGAAAAGATAAAGAGTGTAGGAAAAGATAAAGAGTACAGGAAAAGAGTAAAGAGTGTAGGAAAAGAGTAAAGAGTGTAGGAGAAAGAGTGTAGGATACATGATAAGTGTAGGATATGTGTAGGACGTGTAGTCAGTGCTGTTCCACTATCTCGCTCTGCTCGATAGTGATGTGTAGTCGCTGTAGTCAGTGCTGTTCCACTATCTCGCTCTGCTCGATAGTGACAAGTATAATTGAATCTTTTCCAGCGCGCTGCATTGTATGCAAGGAAAAGTTCTATACAACATTACTAGTCTATTGTTTCACAAAGTTTTGAAATTCCCGATAAGAAACACAAACTCTGTACAAAAATACACTACTAAAATAATGTAAACACAAATTGATAACCCCGTATCGGCATTGCTTCGACACTATCGAGCGCAGCGAGACAGTGGAGCAGTCCTTACCATCGCAGAGAGACAGTGGAGCAGTCCTTACCATCGAGCGCAGCGAGACAGTGGAGCAGTCCTTGCCATCGAGCGCAGCGAGATAGTGGAGCAGTCCTTACTAGCTTATTATAACACTATTCCACTCTGTTCGATAGTAGGGAGAGATATAAATCTTTTTCTATATATCTCTTTACCTTTCTCTCTACATCTCTCTCTACATCTCTCTCTACATCTCTCTCTCTCTCTCTCTCTCTCTCTCTATTTCTTTAGTATTAGAAGAGACTACATACATAAGATAAATAAACACTACAATTTCCACTAGATTATTTATAACTATAGAAATATTAATATAATAGTATACAATAATTTGTAATTTATTAGTCTTTTTACTATATCTTTATATACGGTTCAGACACATATCTTAGAGTCCACATAAGAAGGCCCAAACGCATCAAACCCGTGTGTAACACGACTAAAGCCTAGAGGTAAAAATATTGTCAAGAGTCTCCAACAAGAAATAATTAGTGTGCTCCACTATCTCGCTCTGCTCGATAATCTCTACTCAATAGTCTCTGCTCAATAGTCTCTCCTCGATAGTCTCTCCTCGATAGTCTCTCCTCGATAGTCTCTCCTCGATAGTCTCTCCTCAATAGTCTCTCCTCGATAGTCTCTCCTCGATAGTCTCTCCTCGATAGTCTCTCCTCAATAGTCTCTCCTCGATAGCCTCTGCTCAATAGTCTCTGCTCAATAGTGTAGTATCGGTACCCCAAATTCACCCAAAGAACAAAATCCATCTTGATTTCTATTTAGATTCGTCTTTAGTCAAGTCACTGTAGTAACTGTTAGTACTTGTTCAAAGTGCATCACCACAACCACCAAGTATGGTGGCTGTGGCTGTAGTCGTGGTGGTACATACTTTATGAATTTCTCCAAATCAAAATCCCCTTCTTTTGTTTGAGCGGGGACCGAAGTCAAGGTTGGTGTTACAGCATTGGCTTTCTTGGTTGCATCATCATTTCTTAAAAACCTGGGAATAGCAACTCCAGCAGCAACTGTACCTAATGTAACGATTGATAACTATATGCAAAAAAAAAAAAAAAAAAAGAAATGCCTCGTTAGTATCCTGTTTGGCGTCTCAATTGAGTTTACCGTGTTAACATACAACATGTGCTGGAACTTGCCTGCCGAAAATTGTGTATGCTCCACCCATTATAATTGAAAGAAAAGTGGTGATGTATGAACATTGTTGATTTCAAGTATAAATTTTGAATCAAATAATTAAGCTTATTCGCTACCATTCAAACTATCGAGCAGAGCAAAATAGTGGAGCACACTAGCTGTCATCAACACTATCTTTCACTGCTCGATAGTGGAGAACACTAGCTGTCACCAACACTATCTCGCTTTGCTCGATAGTGTTGACGCTCTAGTGTTGACGCTCTGCACGCTTTCTTAAGGTTACTATAGAAGGACAATTACAGGTAAAGATAGGTTACAGGTAGGTTAAATGTAGGATAAGCTAGTTGGTTGATTCCTGACTATCCTGAGCTATTGTCCAGTAATTTTCCATACCGAATTTTTTCAACACTTTTATTGCTTCTTCGTCGTTTCTTGAGTACATGATACTCCACTTTTCAAAATTTATCTGGGGTAATCTACCTTCCCAGAGTATTTTACATTTACTTAAACCAGTATTCTCTTCATCTCCCGTTTCACTCCACTTTATTCTATTCATTAAAAGTTTTTTATAATGCTTCATTGATTTTTCACCACCTTCTACAACGACTAGATTAAACTTGGGATTCTTTAAACAAATGCCAAATAAATTACCCTGTTTTGCATTGATATCAACTTTGTAAAAATGCAGTGGATTGTCCAAACTATTGATCTTGAAAATTGTCGTATAAACTCCATTGGCAATGTCTTTTTCTTGTCTAGCAAATATTTTGGCACGTTTCTGCTCCAGGGTCAACTTTCTTGCCTCATTGTCTCTAAGGTGTTTTTGTAATCTTTCCTCAACCTGTTTTCGAACTTTATTCTCGACAGCTGTAGGGTCTTTAATAGCTTCATTAGTCAACACAGTCATCAAATTCGATAGTTTCACTTTTGGAGGCGGCGGCGGGTCCAATCCAAGCTTAATTCGGTCCTGTTTCTCCTTGTGTCTGATTTGTCTATCGTTCTTTCTCATCCTTTTCTTCTCCTTAGCTGTTAAGAACATTGGTATTGGTGCATTGTGACTAGTGGTTTGCTCCCATATCGGCTCGAGTAGTACGGGGTGCTGGATATAGCAAGTTATTGGTTGCTCTTCATTATCCAAGACTAATCTGTTTTCGTCGTTAATCCTTGTATAGTTGTTATCCCTTAAATAGGGTCGATCCCACCATTCAACCAAGGGAGGAAACTGTAGCCGGTAATGATCTTCTCTCAAATTCTCATTTGCCAACAAACCTTGCTCAGCTAGTTGATCATGTTTTTGTCTCTCTTCATTTTCAAGTCTCAATTGTTCTCGAAACTTGTCACCTTTTGATATGAATTTACCTTGCAAATTAAACTTTAAAGGTTTTGGTTTATGACTGTTTGCAATCAAAGAAGAAGTTTGACTGATATAGGGATTAAAGGCAGAAGAAGAAGAAGCCACCAATCGGCTCTGCTTTAATGGGTTCCTGCTACTTGTTGTAATGGTGGATGGAAGATTGAAACTTTTTCTCAACAATGGATGTAATTTTACATCCAAACCCTTTCCAGCTGAACCTTTTTCTCCCCCCATCTTCTCCAAAATCCTTGCTGATGGTCCATTCTGGCCCTTATCTAGAACAACCCTTGTTTTTTTTACACACTCTTCTTCAGCCTCACTAGATAAATCTCTCTTTTCCATCCTCCAATCCACCTTTACCTTTCTCAACTCAACTCATCTCATTGTAAATCATTCCATATTTTTTTTTTTCGCAATCACCAAGAGGTTGTTATATTCTACAGTTTACATGAACCTACAGTTTTATCGATACTTATCCTTCCCCTTTAAGTTTGCAAGAACCTCTATGTTGCAAGAACCTCTTTTAGCAAAGTAATTACAATTTATTTATCTGCCACCAAGCTTCCTAATATCTACAATACCAAGAGATTAAAACAAATACAGGTAAAACATTGATCATTAAGACACAAGAGAAGAAACCTTTAAACTTTGAAAAGGAAATTTTCAAATTTAATCTCTCGCTTTTTCATCATTTTTTCTTTTAACAATTGAATTACAGCAACTTAAATATAGTTGCAAGGAACCAGGATTTGCTGTTGATACCGGTAGAGCTGATTTTGAGAGCTGATTTTGAGAGCTGATTTGAAAGCTGATTTGAAAGCTGATCCTAAGAGCTGATCCTAAGAGCTGATCCTAAGAGATCCCAAGAGCTGATCCTAAGAGCTGATCCTAAGAGATCCTAAGAGCTGATCCTAAGAGCTGATCCTAAGAGATTCCAAGAGCTGATCCCAAGAGCTGATCCTAAGAGATCCTAAGAGATTCCAAGAGCTGATCCTAAGAGCTGGTTTTGATAGGTTACCAATAAACTCACTTCCGCAATAGGGCAAAGTTATGAATATTGATAGACGAGAAAATACTCATCGGATGCAAATGGCTCAGCCCATTCGTCCCTTACTTGATGAGTTATTAAGCTGTACCGATACAGAGTTTCCCGATAAATTGTTGGCAAACGTGAAATGGGATAGACCCAAGGGCGATCTTTTGCATTGGATCCCCATCCTCGACAGAATCGATGATACTTTGGCCAGCTACATAAAAGACCACGATTTGGAAAACGAGTTCCCCAAATTACGCATTATTCCTGAAAAAGATGTTTATGTGATTTGCGCGTGTCTAGAGTTCACCAAGACGCTATTGAGAAACTGTTCAGATATCCAGATATACTCAAGCGCAGAGAGAATTTATGCATTAATAAATACACCAACTATTGACGTTAGGCTAAAAGCATTGGAAATTGCCGTTATGTTGGCAGAGAAATTTGTCGTTTCAGGTTCTTCTAGATTTTCTGCACCAAAAGTGGTGAAAAATAGAGTTTTGGAACTTGCAAGGTCATATCCACCATTGGTGCCATTTGATTGCGAAGTAAGACACTTGGAGGAAGAAGAAGAAAAAGAGGAAGAAGAAGAAGAAGACGAAGCAAAAGCAAAAGCAAAAGCAAAAGCAACAGCAACAGCAACAGCAACAGCAACAGAAGCGGAAGTGAAAGTGGAAGAAGAAGAAGATGAAGAAACGGACGAAGAAAAAGCAAATAAAAAAGATGAAGAAGAAGAGGAAGAGGAAAAGGAAGAGGAAGAGGAAGAGGAAGAGGAAGAGAAAAAGAACCAAAAGGAGGATGAAGGGGAGCAAGAGAAAGACAATAAATCCACCGGGAAACCAAGTATTATCGGTGACCATTATAATTTTGTTGATACCTTGAGACGTGATAAGAAATTACCCCAAAAATGGAAAAGTATACATTTTCAATACTACAAATCAATCTTGGCGCATCAAAAAGATGCTACGGCTCTACCCAAACAAGTTCTGGAATCAAAATCGGATAATTTGGTGGTGTCTGAGGGATTACAAGTATTTTCCATTCCTGAAGAGTCGGTGGCGAAAATGACATTAGAACAAATATTTGCCAAAGGAACTGAAGCATTGCCCAAATCATCATGGTTTTCTTTTGGTATTGCTGCAGAGGTGGCAAAATCTTTCAACACTCAATCTAACGAGGCGTTTCAATTGCGAGAAAAGTTGATTCGGATTAAGGCCTATGCCACGGGGTATACGTGTTGTATGTTGTCCAATCAACATACTTCGTCGAGGCTACTTGAAGCAGAACCCTATGTCTTCAGTTTCTTGGTTGATGCAATCCTGCCAGAGAATAGCAAGTTTGTTTCTAAGGATGTACTTGTGGCAGCACTAACTGCACTTAACTGCATATCTATGAAAAAGGCATGGACTGGGGATATCATGAGGTGTATGGGAGGAAATGTAAGCCATGGTGTATTGTTCCAATGTTTGAGACGCATCAAACGTTTGGTTGCCTCGCAACAAGATGATTTCGATGAAGATGCTTATGCATTGTTTTTTGGTTTAGTTAGTCATATGATTAAAACAAAGAGTTTGTTACCTCGACTCATTTCAGGAGGCCTACTTGAAGACCTCATACCCTTTTTGGGGTTGGAAACGAAGTATAAATGGACATGTTCATCTGCTATACACTTGCTTGCTTTATACTTGTCAGGTGCACCTGATTCTCTTGATGCATTTATTGCAAGCAATGGGTTTACGATGCTTATAGACTCAATAAAAAAAGAAGTGAACTTTAACATAAACCTGCGAGAGTTTTCTGGTTCAAATTCAGATCCAGATTTGGAAAAAAAGTTCCCGCCATACACCAAGATTCCTTCAAAACGAGCTTCGTATTTGAGAAATTTGCTAAAATTGGTTGCTGACCTTTTGAACTCAAATCATGGTGACAGACTTCGAAACTTATTTGACTCTCCGTTATTAGAAAGCTTCAACAGTATAATTACTCATCCACTTATATTTGGACCGCAGATATTAGCTTACACTATCGATTCTATTTTTTTCATCATTCATAATGAACCAACAGCTTTTTCGATTTTGAATGAGGCAAAAGTTATTGATACGATTTTGGATAATTACAAGTCCTTATTTCTTCCCTCGGGCCAGTTGCTAATATCCTTAGCAGAAGTTCTAGGAGCCATATCTTTAAACAATTCAGGGCTAATGAAGGTGACAAATAAGCAAAGTATATCAACTTTCTTCAAATCATTTTACGATGATGATATTGCCAAGGTTTTGGTGGAATCTGATATGTCTACGAATCTTGGCTGTTCATTTGATGAATTAGGTAGGCACTATCCATCTCTAAAGCCTATCATTTTGGATGAAACGTTGGATCTCGTTAAACAGATGACTGAGTATGCTGGTAACAAGTTGAATGGAATCGAATTTTACACTTCCTCTGCAGGCTCATTGTACAGTTCCAAAGACGACACCACTCCAATTAAAAACGATGATGATGATGATGATGATGAAAATAATAATAATAGGAAGGATTTCATTAAAAATTGGGATAACGCAAATTCTGCTTTTTTGGTTGATAATGTTTATTTCTTCCTTAGTGGTTTATTCCAAGACAGCGGGCAATGGGGTACGGATGCAATCGAACAATCCAACTCCGATATATGGATCAAGTTACTAACAGTACCTCGTGCTCCCTTTGACTATTTCTTGTCTAATGGAATATCCTCATATTTGGGAGTTTTGAAATACTTTGATGAGGAAGAGATAAATTATGGTTTACCAAAAGTCATTTCTTATTTGTCGACTGCTTTGGAAGACGAGCTAGTTGTTCGTTATATTAATTTCGAAGGAGAGGTTTCATTTTTTCAAACAATAAGTATCGATGAAGCGTCCATGCTAATTGAGCAGTTGTATAAAATCAACTTGTTGTTGTTCACATTGACAAAAATTTATTTGAACTTGGGGCTTGTCGTCAATGATAGAATTCGCCAAATTCTAGAGAATTTTGGCCATCATTCAAACATGTTGTGGCAATTGAGCAAACTTTTACTGCGAAGCATTTTTGAGGAAACCGTTTTGCGAATGAATACACCTGATGAGGTTTTGAAAATAACATCCAATTTCCCAAGTGATAGTCCCCCTTTACAAGTTTATGCTAGTGATCCTGCGGAAAGCTTGGGAACGGAAAAGGACGCAGCGACTTTGGGTACAAGTGCAAAATTTAAAAACGTTTTACAACTTCGAACATTGAATTATTATCTTCAAGCGAATATTTCTTTGTTGCTAGCAACAGTTGTAAGAGCTTGTGTCCCAAAGAGACGTGATCATGAAAATGAGCAGCTGAGAAGGGATGGCGTGGATATACTATTGAGCGTAGCCCAGGGCATTACTGATGCGTTTAAACAAAAAGTTGAGAATTTATACATTTTGCAGTCGCAGCTTTTGGGAGTGTCCAATGTGATTTTATACATATTGAATCAAAGGGAGCGAGGCAAAGATGTAGTGTATACGCCATTTGCAATTGCATTGTTCCAGCTTGGCTTTTACGACAATCTTAACGAGGTGGCTATAAAGTTGTGGGACGACTTGCTACAGATGGATCCCGAGGAGGTTCAAGCCACCACGGAACTCAAATATATTGCTTCTTGTCCCAGCAGTATTGTGAAGAATGCTTTGAGTCAAATGTTTATGATTTATACAAGATCTGTGAACGCGGACGATCTATCGAGCATTCCATTTGCAAAAGCGTACTTCCAAACAGGGTATAAATCAAACATCGAAGTAGAACTAATATCTTCTTTTTTGATTCAAGTACGTGGTAAGGCCCTTACGCTATTGCACGACGTCATTCTTCTGCCGTCGTGTAGCATTCATCAAGACAACGGCCGTTTTTCTGCTAAAAATATACCATCACCATTGATTGAGCAGCTTATCAATATAGCTACAAATGTTTTTCAAGGCAGAAAGGAAATTGTAGGCACAGAATTCACACCTTTTGACCAAAAACTTGTACGTCCTCCAGAAGATCAACTAGCTTATCTCATATCATTAGGTATGACAGAACATCAAGCTGATCATTATTTTGATCATCACAATGATTTAAGTGCATTAGACAAAGGCGTTCCAATGAGCTGTCCTATATTTCAGGACTTGAAAGAGAGTGATTGGAAAGAATTTGCTAAACAATTAAGCGCAGACGAAGTGGACTTTAGCGTGGACTTTCCACCTTTTGAGAAACTGGAGGATATACTAGCTACGAGGAAGAAAATTTGGTCTATTGAACCTTGGATAGAGGTTGCAGTGTTGTATCCAAAAACGACTTCTTCAATTGCAGTTTTATTTACCTCATTAAAAAGTAAAGATGTTTTCAGCTATTTATTAAATCAAGCAGTTAACGAGTTACCAAAAACTAGCAAGGATAGGTACGCGGTGTATCTTCATATTATTTCTTTGCTCATTAGCTCTACTACTTTTTCATTTAATTGTTCCGCTTGTGATATTGACAAGCTTTTTGGACCAAGTGCAATCACAGAGGATACTGTTCATGAAAAGTATTTCCCATATTTAATGTCCATTTTTGAGCAGAAATTTTTATTGGAGGATGTACAAATTCCAGAAGACACCAAACATCCTCACTTGAAATTTACCGAGCAGTTACCACTGCAAAACTGGAATCAAGTGATGGCCAATGTATTTGACCAAATCAAAGAGCTTAAAAACGTTACCGACAGCAGATCAGCAAATGGACTAGCTCGTGTTCTTGTTTTGTACTCCAAACATTATGAGTATGCTTCAAATATTTCAGAAATGCCGATTATGGGTGCCTTGATGAAAATCGTGAGGAATGAGTCAATTGAAAAACTAGTTCTTGATTCTTTGAAAACGAGCATGGTAATGATTATTAGAGGATGTTTTGAATCGCAGGAAGTGGTTAGCAATTACATCAAACATGACGTTGCGGGAATTTTTTCTCGAAACTTTAAGCAATCAAGAAGTTTGAAAACATTGTTGAAAGATAATCTCTCTCTTGTGTTTAGAGATGCAAATATCACGACAGAAGCTATAAGTAATCAGGTTGTTATTGAGGGGTACAGTGGTTTGAGCCCACTAGGTTCTGACATTATAGTTTCAAAATCAAAGATTGATTCGAGCAACGAGGGTGACGTTGAAATGATAGATCATGGACATGCAAAGAGTTCTAAAACAGGAGCACTAATGAGCCTTGTGATGAGTGAATTGATGGATGTTGTAAAGACTGATTGGCTCTCAGATCCCGAAGACGATTCAACAAAGAGCAAAAACAAAACAAAAAGTAAAGTGGGGATTTATGCAAATAAAAACTTTACCTACGCTTGTTTTCTTACACAAACAATTGCAGAGTTGTTAGGTTCATACAAGCAAGCTAAATTCGATTTTTTGACTTTTTCGCGTAAAGTCCAAGGTGAAATCAAACTCAGACCGACATCATTGAATTTTTTTGTGCATCAATTGATTCCTACACAGCCATTTGAGAAGAATTCGGATAATGAATATGGAAGACGTTCAGCTTTATCGTCAATTGCCAAGGTAGCCTTGATGAGTTTGATATCCACTTCGCTAGTTGATTTCAATACGACACTGACACTGACACTGACGCCGAATCCCAAGAAAGAAGATCCTGATCTCGCGCTTATTCGAAGGTTTGTTGTTGACTTGATAATCAAAGTGATGAAAGATACATTGTCATTGAACAATTTGGCAAAGACTAGATATGGAAAAATGGTTGATTTATTTGACTTGACAGGTACATTAATATCTTCTAAGTTCAGAGATTCCATTGGGCCATTGTTGGACAAGGATTCAATCAAGCATGACTTGTTCTATATGACAAGAGTATATGTAGAAAAACAGATGCTGAATATGCTTACAAGTTTGATTTCGGAATTTGATTTAAACTTTCCCGAAATTGAACAGGTTTCGAAAGCTGCTTTGAAACCAATAATTATATTGGGGAAGAACAAAGTTGATTACCAAGAATTGTTTGCATTGGAGGGTCAGGAGGAAGCTGATGACGATGATATTGTTCCAGATGAGGAAAATGAGGAAAGAGATGAAACCCCGGATTTGTTTAGAAACTCCACACTTGGCATGTATGATCTAGAGATTGCCAGCGAGGAAGATGATTACGATGATGAGGGTGCCTTGGAGGTAATGATCCCAGGAGATGACATCGAGAGTGATGAGTCTTCCGAGCTTTCAGCTATTGACTCTGGTGAAGACGAAGACGAAGAAGAAGAAGAAGAAGAAGACGAAGATGATGATCTGGAGGAAGGAGAAGACGAAGATGTCGATATGGAAGACGAGGAGGGAGCAGTGTTAGACTCTGAGAGAAGTCTTGATGATATTGAAATTATTGATGAGCTAGACCTTGACTCCTCGGGTGATAATGAAGAAGGATACTATGATTTAGACGAAGAAGATGGTGCTGAAGACGAGAGAGAAGAAGATGACGAAGGAGAAGAAGAAGAAGGAGATGAGGGTGATGGAGAAGAAGGTGTAAATCATGATAGTTATTGGGAAGAAGATGGTGAGAGCGAATACGATGAGGATGAATTGGATGGCTGGATTGAAGAATTGGAAGATGAAAATGATGAAGATGAAGATGAAGATGAAATTGTTGCTGAGCTGCTTCTGGTGCCGCCTTTCAGGTCTAGAGTCGATGCTTCAGAAAATGATGAAGATTCAGAGGAGGATCTTAGCGATAGTGAGTCTAGACAAGAGTACGAAGTGCGCATGGTGACACCAGAGAATGGTTTGCGAAGATTATTTAACCAAGCAGGTTTGTCGCATCTCGATAGAAGTCCAACTTCGGCATTTTCTTTATTAGTTGATGGATTGTTCAGGGAGGGAAACTTTCGGGGTTCAATTGAAATAAGTGGGAATGAAGATGCCAGAGGGGGTCCCAATACCATCAGGCGTCTTTTTGAGAATATGATGCATCTTGGACAAGGCTCTAAACAAGTTGAACATTTTCATAATATCCATATAAAATCTACAAAGGAGAGATGGACAGAAGCTCTTGTGATGTTTGATCCTCCACAGAAAGACCGTATGGTAGATAGAATCATTCCAGGTATTGTGAACAGAATAGAGGATAAGAGTATTGAAGCGTACAACATCAAACAAAAGGAATATGAAAAGATCAAGAAGGAGCGAGAAGAAAAAAAGAAGAAAGCTATGGAAGAGGAACAAAAAAGGCAAGAGGAAGAAGCTAAACAACGTGAGGAGAATTTGAGTAATGTACCACCAAGAGACCCTATTTTTGTTAGGATTGGTGATAGAGATGTTGATATAAGCGGCACAGATATTGATCCGGACTATATAGAAGCATTGCCCGAGGATATGAGAGAAGAGGTGCTTGCTCTGTATGTTCGAGAGAGAAGAGCTAATGCGTCTACTCAGAATTCAGATGCAAGGGAGATTGATCCCGATTTTTTGAATGCATTACCAGGAAACATTAGAGATGAAATTCTTCAGCAGGAATCTTTTGCTCGAAGGTACGCCGCTTTGGAGGAATCGCGAGAGGATTTTGCGGATGCAGTAGCAGACGAGGTAACTGAAGAAGACGATCATCAGGATAATACATTGCAATCAGGACAACATCAACATCAACATCCCCATACAGTTAACCAAAAATCTCAGAAGCGTGGAAAGATTTTTTTCACTCCGCTTCTGGATAAACAAGGCATTGCAGCGATTTTGAGACTTTTGTTCATGCCATTAACCATTCCTCAAAGAGAGCAGATATATCAGGCTCTTCATTATATGTGTTTCAACAAACAGAGTAGAATTGAAATAATCAATTCAATGCTCAGCGTGTTGCACGATACTTTTACCACTCAACGTCCAATTCAGAAAGTCTTTTCTCAAGTTTACAACCGAGCATCAGATAAGGAGCTGAAGTTGAAGGTTCCTTTGAATAGCACGCCTATATCAATAGGAATTCAGTTTATTGAGTCAATTGATTTTCTACTTGAAAGGAATAGCCATTTAAGGTATTTTTTGATGACTGAGCATGAGAACCCTTTGATAGCCAAAAAAATTGCAAAAAAGCCATCGAGGGAAAGTAAGTTTCAAATCAACTATATATTGAAGCTATTGGATAATAAATTGCTTGTTGAGGATCAGACATTTTTGGATAATTTAGCTAGAGTCTTGCAAGTTTCCACACGTCCTTTGCTTGCGCTCAAAACGCGCGGAGAAAACCGGTCGTCTCCTCAATTCCCTCCACCATACATTCCTGAAGAAAACTTTCGTCTTATTGTTAAAATTTTGACAGGGAATGACTGTTCAAACACAACATTTAGAAGAACAATTAGTGCTATGCAAAACTTTTCTGTATTGGAAAATGCCCAAAAGTTATTTTCTATTGAGTTGTCAGAAAAGGCGGCGTATTATGGAAATAAAATCACTGGTGATTTGAATAAACTAACACAAGAGTTGATCACCGATGGAAACTCAAGCAGCAAGTCCTTTTCGAATTTTAGTGCACACTCGTCAGACCAAGCAAAATTGTTGAGAATATTGACGGCTTTGGACTATATGTATGAAAACAAGGAAAAAGATCAAGGTGGTGGTAGTAGTGGCAATGGCGAAAACGGTGATAATGGGGATAATGGTGATAATGGTGCTGGCGATAATGAGATAGAAGAATTGACCAATCTTTATAAAAAATTATCGTTGGGCTCTCTTTGGGATGCACTTAGCGATTGCTTAAGAGAGTTGGAGAAAAAATCAGAGTTGACAAATGTGGCCAATGCATTATTACCGTTGATTGAAGCGCTAATGGTTGTATGCAAGCACGGTAAAGTCAAAGTTCTTCAAGCAAAGGATTATTCCAAATATGAAGCAAAGAAGATTGATTTCACCAAGGAGCCAATCGAGTCTTTGTTTTTTTCATTTACCGATGAACATAAGAAGATTTTGAATCAAATGGTTCGGGGCAATGCCAATTTGATGAGTGGTCCTTTTGGAATGTTAGTGAAGAATCCTAGAGTATTGGAATTTGATAATAAAAAGAATTATTTCGATAGGAAGTTGCATGCTGATTTGAAAGAGCAAACAAAGTTGTCAATTGATGTTCGTCGTGAGCAAGTGTTTTTAGACTCTTATCGAGCATTATTTTTCAAAGGAAAAGAAGAGTTTAAAAATGCAAAATTGGAGATCAATTTTAAAGGCGAAATGGGAATTGATGCTGGTGGTGTAACAAGAGAATGGTATCAAGTATTGAGTAGGCAGATGTTCAACCCTGATTATGCATTATTTACTCCAGTTGTATTAGACGAGACAACGTTTCACCCCAATCGAACCTCGTACATCAACCCCGAACATTTATCATTTTTCAAGTTCATTGGCCGAATTATTGGTAAGGCCATATTTGATAATTGCTTTTTGGATTGTCATTTTTCAAGGGCAGTTTACAAAAGGATTTTGGGCCAATCACAGATATTGAAGGATATGGAGTCTTTAGATCTTGAATATTACAAGTCGTTGATTTGGATGTTGGAAAATGATATTACCGATGTGATTACTGAGACGTTCAGTGTTGAGACAGATGATTATGGTGAGCATAAGATTATAGATTTGATCGAGAATGGAAGAGATGTCGCAGTAACTGAAGAAAATAAGCATGATTACGTGAAGAAGGTTGTCGAGTATAAGTTGCTGACATCTGTTGCAGAGCAAATGGAAAATTTTTTGATTGGATTTCACGAGATCATACCAAGAGAATTGGTGGCGATATTTGATGAGAAAGAATTGGAGTTGTTGATCTCTGGATTACCAGATATCGACGTTCAGGATTGGCAAGCAAACACCGTCTATAGTAATTATTCACCATCTTCCTTACAAATTCAATGGTTTTGGAGAGCAGTGAAATCGTTTGATAATGAGGAAAGAGCCAGACTTTTACAGTTTGCTACTGGTACATCGAAGGTTCCATTGAATGGTTTCAAAGAATTAAGTGGGGCTAGCGGCACATGCAAGTTTAATATTCATCGTGATTATGGAAGTACTGATAGATTACCTTCGTCTCATACTTGTTTCAATCAGATTGATTTGCCTGCGTATGAGAATTACGAGACATTAAGGGGATCATTGTTGATGGCTATTAGCGAAGGTCATGAAGGTTTTGGATTAGCTTAAGCCAGAAAAAACAAAAAGAGAGGGGCGAGGGAAGTGAAGTGAATATTGTATGTATATATTTAAATAAATACAAGGGAGTTTATGAATTAATGACTATTAAGGACAAGAAGATTCTATTCTCTACAAAGGTTTTCTATTAAAGTCTTTTTTTTTTCTTTTCTATCTTTCTATAAGGCGGCTGTAATCGCTATACTTTCCAAACCTTCTGTGTCAACCAAGTTTTTCACCAACTCGTAATTGACTAAATTTGTTTCCAAATTTTTTTCATCGATTAAATTACAGTGATTCAAAATTTCAATTGGTGGTATAGTTATCCTGCCAATTTTGAATACATATTTAGTTAATGCTACGGCATTGACTTTGTCCATTTGAGAATTGTGCAGGTTCTTTGTAGTAAATGTACTCAATACAAATAACCATTTTTTATCCCAAGCCAAGATTCTTGAATTTATATGAAATTTTTCAAAAGGTTTCAATTCTCTTTTGAATTGACATTTGACAATTGCAATGGGGGCATAAGGGAAATTTGCAATTTTCCTTTTTGATTTACCAAATTTACCAGATTTATTCTCAAACGAGTGCCACCAATATGATTGTAATAATCTTATAAGCAACTTTGTTCTCGCAATATCCAAATCAAGAAAATAGGTTGAGTTTGATTTATGGAGGTACATGTCTAATTCAAAGGGACTTACTCTCGACTCTAAGGTCACTGAACTGAATAGATCCTTGGGGGAGTTGAAACCATAGGTATTATAAGTTGTTGGATCTTTCTTGGAGAAAAACCAAGAAGAGCCAAGTCCTCTGATTGCATGATAGTAGAATCGTACTACGTAAGCAAACGGAATCGTCTTGTGTGAAATCAAAAAGATTACAATGAGTAGTAGTACGGTTTTAGATATCATTCTTTGGCCAAGGAGAGAAAGAGAGATAGAGAAACTGGGGTAAGATGAAAAATTAAGGTCGGTATAGACAGATTTTGCAAGGTTGGAAAACGCGATGAAGTACTTTATAACTCCGAGCAATTGAGCCAAAAGAGGAAAAAATAAAAAAAGGAAAGAAAACACCCTTGAAAACAGGAAAACACCAAGAAAAACCACGAGGAAACGGGAAAAACGATTGCTTTCCTGAAAACAGGAAAGGTTTTAAAGTTGTACGAGATGCATGAAAAAAAAAAGGTATTGCATAAAAGAGAGACACAGTTTCTATTACTGATAGCCTTTCATTCAGTTCTATTACTGATAGCCTTTGATTCAGTTCTACTACTGATAGCCCTTCAATTAGTGGAGAATTCCACGTTTCAAGATTTTCTCCTAATAAATCGGGGAAAGGGGTTTTTCTCCAGCAGTTGTGAGAGTATTGATCCAAGCCAGGCTTATTATTATGATTGGGATCTCAAAAATAAAAAGTAACGGAAATAAAGCGGAACAATTTTGGTAAACGCCGAGAAAGAAAGAAAAGATCAAAAGCCTGTAAAGGAAACTTTAGAAGAAAAAAAAAACCCTCAAAGTTGTGCATAATTTTTGCCACTATAGGTATGGTCTAAATAATGATCTGATATTGGGGATAAGAGGGTCAAAACGATAGGGGAAAGTGAAGGTAGTGGTTATGATGATGATGCTGACAATAATGATGGAAAGAACGGAGAGGATGAAGAGGCTTTAAACGTGGCGTTAAACACCAATGCTTATTAATCAGTTTGACAAGTATGAAAAATCAATATATCAGCAATACTTGACTGTCTTCATATCTTTTTCTCAAAGCTAGTCAGTACTGCTTGCTTCACTAGCGAGCGAAGCGAGATTGATTATATCCTATTTCGACTAACTGCTCTCTTTTTTTCTTTCTTTCTCTCTCTCTCTCTCAAAAAAAAAACAACCTATAGAGCAGTTTTGTTGTTCTTTTGGATAATTTTATAACCGATGGCCTTATCTCAAACTATATGCAGTACGTTTCCATCAATTTCTTTTTTTTTTTTTTTTGCAGCTTATTTTTTCCCATGGCAAATGTTTAAGACACAGCCGTGCCCAACCCTCTCACCTCTTTTTCCGCTCCCGCCCCCACCCCCAAGTGCCACACAGGATATATGCAATGTAAGTTCTGAAAGTTCACCACGTTGCGACACTATCGATTGAAGCGAGATGGCGGAGCAGCACTGACTACACTGACTACACTGACTAAACCGACACTAGCGACACTATCGAGACTAATCTCGTTTCGCTCGATAGTGAAGCATAGATCAGGCCAAAAAAAAAAAATATAATACAAACCCAGTTTCACTTTTTTTTACTTTATTTTTTTTTTTATCTCTTCCTTTCTTATCAATCTCTATAAAAACAAAAATGAATACTACTCTTCTATAAATTACAAGCTTTGCGTTTTAGTCACCGTCGCGGTCGTCATCATAGGACATGATTTTGAATTAATATGGTTCTTAATCCAGTCGTCAACATTTTCAAACTCTTGTTGGCATAGTCGACATTTTCCCTTTACTTTTGACCTTTGTTCCTTTTTAGTGCCATTGGGGTATTGGAAATGAATAGCCTTCAAGTGATTTTTAAACGTATCGCATCTTGAAAATATACCCGTATTATGACAACATTGCGAATTACTTTGTGATTTAAAGGGACACTTGAATTGACCTTTATCACTACCAATCTCCTTCCAGTGGCATTTAGTGTGTCTGAACAAATCATTTGGTCTTGCAAAGCCTCGTTGACAATACTCGCAAATGTGAGGACGATTTGTTGGCTTTAAGTGCGTTGACTTGTGGGTTGCCAAGTTGGAGAAGTATAATTTACACTCAGAACATTGTCTTTTCTTGCGTGGTTTCCAATTCTTTTTACTTTCTGGTGATAGAGAAGGTAAAGAGTCTTCTTTTTTTATCTCATCCTTAAGCTGAAAGAAGTGATTGTCCAATGACTGATGGTGGTGATGATCATAGTAGTGTTCATCTCCTTGTTGAGGCGAAGATACTTGTTGTAAAGGTGGCGACGAAGTATAAGTTTGTTGTTCCAAAGTATAATTTTTTTCAATGGGCGGGAAGGTTGGGATATTCAAGGAGTGGATTGAAGGTAGTGTTATCGAAGAATGTTGTAGATTGTTATATTGAACCAAGGCTGGTTTTGGTGACGTTATAGGGCTGACAGGAGATGGCTGGCCTTGGTTTAAGGAATAATGGGATAAAGACAACATGATGAATATACATATATCTTATATATAGGGGTATATTATCACAAGTTTAATTGGACATATAAAAGAAAATGTCTATTTGATCTATGTTATAGCTACTAGATAATCTTAGGCAATGTTATAGCTACTAACTAAACCTATTGGCGATGTCATAACCAACAGATAATACTAGGCAATGTGTCAAGTTTATATATATACTTGTTCACTGGTACTTCGGGTACAAAAACTACCAAGTGTTTGGTGAATAGGGGAAATTTTTAATTTTTAATTTTTTTTTTTTTTTTTTTTTAATTTTTTTTTTTTTAAATATGTTTTACATTTTTAATAACCGACAAATTCAAAATCAAAAAGCGAGGTCAACGTTTGAACTTTTTGTAGCAAGACTTGATAAGTAAAATGTCGTTGAACCGTTGATATTTTGAGTAAAAATATAAGAGAGAAAGACAAGCAAGACAAGCAAGACAAGCAAGACATGCAAGACAAGAAAGACAAGAAAGACAAGCAAGACAAGCCCTCGCAAGAGTCGAGAGAAGTTTCAGTTTAGTGGTCTCTCTTTCTTTGCTCTTTCTCTCTTTTTTGCTAGGAATACTTTCCATCACAGCTTACTTGGAACGGCTTTCCATTGTTATATTGCCGTAGCAAGTCTAACAAATCTAGCCCCTTTTATCAAAAAAAAAAAATCTCTCTCTAATTGATACCTAAGCATTGTTTTTATCACCGAGAAACGATAGCAGAAAGGAGAAAAAAAAAACCTGACTTTCTATATAAGTTTCCATACCCATGTTCAAAGTTATATTTGCTCTTTCAACATTTCAGTCTCTGTTGATTCAATACGCGCCATTTATCTTATTCTTCTTTTTATTTATTTATTTATTTATTTCGCTAGCTTTTGGGGCTCCGACAAACAAGTCAAAATAGGACGAATTTTTCATTTTATCACCGAAAGAGTAAAATGTAAACGATAATCGTCTTTTTTTGATTTTCTTTTCAAGAGCTTTCAGTGATACCTATCACAAGTCTATTCTACTAGCTTGCTCTGGGTTCCTATTTTGTTCGACTCCTATTTTTTTTCTTTTTTTTTTTCCTTTTTTTTTTTTTTTTTTTTTTTGAGAAAAGTTAGAGGGTTTTTTTTCGGCGGAGGGAACGGCTAGGGTCTAACGGCTTAAACTCCCAAATCATACCTGTTGTCTGTCTCTTATTTTTCTTTTTTTCTCGGGTCTTATACAGTTGCGGTCTGCAGAAGAGAAAACAATAGGAAAATCAATCATCACCGCAAGCACAAGCTCTTTTTCTATAGTTCAGGTAAGTCTTTTTTTTATCAATTTCTTCCTTTTATTTTATTTTATTTTTTTTTTTTCCCTTTCCTTACAATTTTAGCCGGTCCTGCCCATCACGTCATGACCATTTTCAAAAGATCGTTATAGTAAAGTGTCGTGGGTGGAAAAAAGTAGTCGGTTTATTTTGGGTAATTCCATTTTATCCGAATGGCCCATTAGCTTGTTCTCTGCGCCTCCATTACCAATCGACACACTATTACACACAATATATTTACACGCATACGGATTTAGGGGGAGGGGGAGTAGGGCCTTATGCGAGTATGGAATGGAATGACAACCGTCTTTCTCTCCATATCGCGTCGCAGTGTCTCTCCAAGTGTGATCTAAATTTTCAACCCAAATGAGCAAGAAATAGGGGCTCTATAGTTTAAGTCTGCCAAGGCCCCATGACCCTCTTTCTCTGTTTCTTCTCCACGTACACACACAGAGAGAGAGAGAGAGTGTGTGTGTGATCAAGAGAGAGAAAAACATTATCGGTTAGTTCTTAGTTTAAGCTTTTTTATTATGTAGACATAAAAATAACTGTCACTTCCATACTACCCGAAGTAGAATTTTGCAAATAGGGGGGATGCAAAGTGTAATTCGCAGGGAAGATGTGGAAAAACGAGGGAAAAACGAAATTGAAGAGAACGATATGGGGCGGATAAGAAAAGCGGAGTGAAGTCAAAAAAAAAGGGGGATCCCTTCTTTATCCTTGTTGCTGTTCATTTTATAAAGCTACAAATCAATCATTAAATATCTCTTCGTTTTTCTTCTGTTTTGTTGTACTAATTAATTAAAACCCACTTGATGATATTTATTTAGATTTTGACTTTTATTTTTATTCTTCTTAGCAACGGACTCAGCCGTCCCTATATTATTATTATTATTATTATTATTATTATTATTATTATTATTTTTTCGTGTTACGACTTTCAATACCTTCGGCGATACGATATACAACGTGCGACATACGACACATACGACACTCCACAAGAGAACCGGAAAAATAAGAAAATCCTTTATAGTAAGGTTTACACTTTTTTTGTTATCAACCACCAATTAACGAGAAAAAGAGGACCTTTTCACCTATCGGGTATCTTTCATTTCTTTTCGATGTTTGCTGTTGTTTCCAACGATATTAATTGAATCATGGGGACTCAAATTGTCAGTATTATTGTAAGCGTTGATAAGGAAGCTTTTGCAACTATTATTTTTCACCGTATATTTTTTGGAATATAACCAATAGTGTAGTTTTTTTCTCTCCCTTCTTAATTTTTGATTATACAATTATACCTACATTCTGCAAAAAGCCTTTTATCAAAATGTCTATGAAAAATCAATCTATAAAGTGTTTTTCTAAAACCGAATAGCACATTATTTTGTCTATTTGCCTATGAACTTTAAAAGATGCGCGTAATGGGGGGGGGGGGGGGGGGGGGGGGGGGGGGGGGGGGGTGAAAGCGGTTCAGTCTTTGTACATGCTACTGCTTTCTGCCCCTGTCCCTGCCCTGGCTGTCTCCAGTCTCCAGTCTCTAATTACACCTTTCTTGATTTTACCTTTGTAGAAGCAGTTTCGACTCCAGAATTTTTAACAACTTTCGAGGCTGTTGTTCTTTGCTCACCAGCTTTTCTTGAAACCTTCTCCTTTGTTTTGTAAACCTTGATATAGAAACTAATAAATAATACCAAGTAACTCGATAAAATCAAGTACCCATACGCAGCAGCCAATTCACTACCATGACAGTCTCCCATACGAGGTAACGAAGGGAAATACTTGAATGCATAGTGTGTGTAAGTTGCAAAATAAACAAATCCCAAATCCAAAACAAATTGAATGATTTGGAAACGGGTAACCCACTCTTTCCACCAAACTCTAATACCTCTTGCACTTAAGAAATAATACCAATACATAACAACATGTACGCCAAGGTTCAAAGTAATTGGAACCCACTCAACTGAAGTAGATCCTGTCAATTGAGTATAGCATAATAAAGCAGTAGCTCCATGGTGATAAGTGTGCAAAAACAATAATTTTTTTTTCTTCAATACTAAAAAGATGGAATCAACCAATTCCAAAAACTTGGTCAAGTAATTCAAATAATACAATGTTACCAATTTCTGAGTGAATGCGCCCTTTGAGCAAATGGCATAGAACAAGCCCTGGTGATACAACATTGGAACCAACTGCTCAACACATAACAACAACAAGCTCAACGATAACAATGTTAAAAATATATTATGCAATTGAAACAAGAAATTCAACTTCAAAGCTGGTAACTTGAATTTGTTGATTATGGCCCTACCGCCGAAAATGATAAAATAATACCCAATAATTATGCTCACAGCATGGAAACCATTAGCCAAAAAGGTCTTGTGGTAAATAAACTCGAAATCGTCAGCAGGGTATCCAATCACCATCTCAAATACCTTATTGAAAATAGGCCAAAGATATATCCCAAACGGGCGTTCGACCGAGGGGACACTAATTTGAATTAATGCATCTGAACGGTGAAGACCAAGTGTCATTATGCTGGAAAAGATAGCGCTAAGTGGGTGGTGTTGATGGCAGTAGTGTTTTTATTGTTGGCTCTACTGAAAAAAAAAAAAAAATATGAAAAAGAAAACCTACTGAAAAATTTCCCTCGTTGAAGGAAAAGAAAAAAAAAAAAGAACAAAAACGCACCGTAAGGCAAGTGAACCTAATTGGTATGTGGTATGAAGGCTGGAGCCAGCAAGACTGATGAGGGACTGCGGAAAAAAAAGAAGAAATAGAGGATAAAGAAGAAGAAAAAGAAGGAAAAAAAACAAAAAAAAAACATGGGTGGTTTACTAAAGACTCTGGTACTACATCGAGATCTCTTTTTAGATAGGAAGAATATAAAGTGAGGGGAGGGGGGAAGTCATCGGCTGGAGTTATGAGATTTTTTTCTGTGTTTTTTTTTTCTTTCAACATTTATTGATTTCTTTATTAATCTAACCGGTTAAAACCATTAAATCAAAATATCCTTCAGTACTAAAGCCAGCGAATATGTTCGCTCAACTCCTTCCCTTTCCCCATCCTTTAATAACTACTGATACCTTCTTTTGCACCTTGTTAAAGATAGCGCAAAAGAAATAATAGTTCTACAAACAGTTTTGTAATAACAGATACTCTAATCTTAAACTTTAAATTGAACTCGCTCTAAAACACCTTTAATTACAATAGAAAAACAAAACAATGTTTTTTTTTATTTTTATTTTTTTTCTTTTTGCAATTCTACCATCTATTTATTCGTGTTTTTCTCACTGATCCTTTGCTTAGATCGTGGTATCTTTTGCTTCCCTACTACATCTAATCCAACTGCGACACTATTGAGCAGCACTGAATAGTGACTCTTTGACTCATGTAACAACTTTTTTTTTTTTAATATTAAAATGTACGTTTTACACACCTTTATTAACTAGGCGATTTTGGTTTCAAATTCAAAAAATCAATCGAAACAATTATATCATATCCATTTTCTTCACAAGCAAACATTGCTTCATGTTCGTTCGAATGCAAATATCTGATATTATCTCCAATTAAGGATCTTAATAAATTCGTAGTATGCAAATCTCTAATTTCAATAAACCCAGGTTCAAACGATAATAGGCAGGGGAAAAACAATGCAACATTTCGTGGGTTGCCCTCCCAAAATATTCCCCAATCGTGATTAGTTCTCCATCCATTACCTTTGATTAAAAACACAAACTCCGAGTAACATAAAAGAAAATCTCTGCCCAACCTGTGGATAGCCAAAGGTGTTACCAGCTCCCTTTGAGTTGCAAAATCCAATGATGGATCTGCCTCATCCAAAATTGGCTCTTTATTACCTGCTTGTAATGACAAGATTTCAAACCCTTTAGCGCATCCAATACACAATTTACTTTTTAAAAACGAAATCGATATAGGATCCGAAGTGAAAAAAATCTCTTCAAATTCAATTTTTTTATTCTTATTCTTCAGTTTTGCATCAAATGGATTCATCGGCTCGAAAATACATATCGAATGCTGACTCCCTGTTTTGGCTCCAATCACCAATAATTTTCCATCGCAAACACCAATTTTGAAAAAGGAGATATGTGTCATGATTAACTTTCCCAGCTTGGTGTTTTTGACATGGTCCAAGGAGTCAGTACACGACAAATCAAATTCGTATAGTACCTTGTCACTGAGAACCAACAACTTCGAATATTCAACCAAAACTTCGACTTGAGTCGTATATGGCTTGGAAATAACCAATGTGGGGTCGGAGCAAATTTTCTCATTTGAAGTTGCACTTATTGATCGAACGGTGCTCACCCAAACTCCCGAATCGGTACCGAATAATAGTTTTTTCCCACCATAGCATGGAACAGCACAGTTTATTTTATTATTACCAGTAAACCTTCTAGTTTCATACTTACTCATTGAAAATAAATCATTTGAATCAATTAACTTCCTCTGTTGTTGAGCAATTTGTTGCAACACTTGACTTTGTATTGTCACATCTTCGGCAAACAAGGAGGTGTGTACTTGATTACTTCCCATACCAAGAATATTGATCTGGAACTTACTTGCATTATTTGACGAAAGCGTATTTCCAATGTAATTAGTACTCTCCGCCCTTTGGTTTCTGATAGCAACGTCTGAGACTAATGACATGTTGTACCGATGGTTCATCAATGTTCTTGTAGTCGGTATCTCAAATCCGCTATTCACAAACAATAACGGAAGCAAGATGGGTTTTTCAAATACTTTGTGCTGTTCTCTCTTGTTTTGTATCTTGTGCTTGACTAATAACATTGCATGCTCAAACAAATACAAGTCTATCTTTTCATTATCTCTCTTTCTATTCAACGTGACTTGATACAAGATTCTATTATTGTAAGATAATTTAAAATTAAATTTGTTCTCAAGAGTTTGTTTCCCGAGTAATCTGTGCAACACCATAATTTTATGACGATCGGTGCTTTCACCGGTTTGGATATTAATCTTCACCAATAATGCCTCAATTTCCCCCTTTGCCTTTACCAAGTATTTGTAATCGGGACTTTCTGGTTTGGTGTGTTTTAAGATTCCCGCCAACAACAATTGGTATCTTGCAGTTCGTTGTACTCCTTTGATCAAAAACGAAGACAAATCTTGTCTTCTTGATTCTGGTTTCTTTTCAATGGCATCTAAAAATCTTGCATACTTCAAATTTACTTGTTGTTGTCTCTCATGCTCAAACGTTGCAAACACTTTGTTTCCAGAGTACCTAACAAAAGGCTCAAAATTACCAACATGATCCAAAAATACGTCTCCAATAGTTTCCACCACGGGTTTTTGCTGCTGTTGCCTCTTGTTCAAGGCCTCGCTAAAGGCTCTTCCCAATCTCAATAAATCCCCAACTCCACCAAATACTGTATGGATGAATGTTTCACGCTGATGCTCAGGAATAATATTGTTTGCAGGATTTCTCAAGGGCATTATGTAAAAATCAGTCATAAACTCCAAATCCTTCACGTAATCTCTTTCTGTATAAATGAACTCGTAAATTAACTCTTGCCTAATTTTTTCGTGCTTGTCTAATTTATCCAACACAGACTGAGGAACTGTCTTGTGCCATAATGTTTCATTTTCTTCTTTATCGTGCAAGGACAACTTGGAAACTGCTCTTTTCAAACCGCCATGAGGCTTTAGATTCAATCTAGCTTGTTGTTCTAATCTTCTGGGACAGGCAATACTGTAACACAAATGATTTCTGCTACACGTAGGTGAATAACAGTCCGTTAAAATTGTAAAGACCCCATTGACTCCGGTTTGCTGAGTGGCCGTCAAGTTTTTTCCAGCAAGATTAACACTACTATTTCCTCCACTCAATCTATTCAACTGTGCACCTGTTGCTGTTGCTGTTGCTGTTGCTGTTGCTGCCGCTGACGCGTACTCAGCCGCCGCTGCAGGTTGACTAACATGGGAAGGTAGTTGTTGCGACAAAAAATTGTCCTGAATGGCCTGCTGGAATTGAGCACTGTCCACAAAGGACCCGTGTTTTGATGTCGTAGCACTATTGTTTCCATTACTGTTACTACCTTCCTCTTGATAAAATTCAACATCGTTGTATACGTTATTAAAAGCATATATTTCATGAACAGAGTCTCTCAATCTGTGATTATATGTGACATCATGAAAAAACTTTTGTGCATCTAGTGATCTTCCTATCAATAGTGCCAAGTTTCTGTCATTGGTTCTAATTATTCGACACAAGATATCAACCGCCATTTTCCCGGTAAATGTGTCATGATACTCTAACCCGTCTTTAGTATTGATTGTCAAAATAATAGCGTCCTTAAACAATTTTGCTACTTCGGACAACATAGCAGGATAAACAGAAGAGCTTGGCGGATGCAGTGGTATCAAAGTTTTGGATGAAGTAATGCTCTGTTTATCGTGTTTTGTAATCGATGATGAAGAGCCAAACTTTTTTGAGGACAACGAAGATAATTTGCTAATTGATGAAAAAGAACGCGATTTCGATGTTAATGAGAATGAATGGTTTAAAGAGGGCGAGGAACCACCTCCGGATATTGGGCGAGAACTGTTTTGTTGAAAATGCTCGTGTTGTTGTTGTTGCTGCTGCAGCAGTTGCGGTTGATGCAGTTGTTGTTGTTGTTGTTGTTGTTGTTGTTGTTGTTGTTGTTGTTGGAGTTGTTGTTGCTGCTGCGGGAAGCCTCTAAAACGCGATGATGTCGAGGACAAGGACTTTGTTCGTAACTCATTGGACAGCTGAGGTGGCAAGTGATTATGATTAGGAGACGAAATAATTCTTCTACTGTCACTGTTGTTGAAAATTTGATCATTCTGAATAGATGGTAAATTACCAGATTGAGTTTTACGAAACAGTTTTCGTATCGAAGGCAAAAACTGTGACTGTTCAGTAGAAGAATGAAGATTTCCGGAAAACTGGTTATGTATAGGGTACGGTACTTGTGTAGTCGAAGCACTTCTAGAATAAGTTTTCGGCTGTTGCTGTGAATGAGATCCATTTTCATACATCAATGACAGTGGTAGCTGGTCTGAATGAACAGTATGTGGCAAGGTTGGTGCTGATGCGTTTCGATGAGAAAATGGTTGTTGGTGTTGTTGTTGGTGTTGGTGTTGTTGTTGGTGTTGGTGTTGGTGTTGGTGGTGTTGGTGTGGTGGTGCTGGTGCTGGTGCTGGTGCTGGTGGCGCGTTTGGGTCCTTGACCGTACTAGAAGAACTCATTTGCAATGGCTGCTGGTACTCGGCCTGAGACAGTGGAGCACTGTACTCCATTTGCATTGATAGTTTCTGTTGATACCTTGGAGAATCCAGAGAAGAAGAGTAGTTCTGTGAACTTCCGCCGTTATGCGGTGTCTTGTATTGGTTTGTTTGCATCTGTCCAGTTAGAGAAGGAAGTTGATGTTCATTGATTGATTCCGATTGTGGCTGGTAAAGTGGGAAGCTGTGACTTGCGTTTTGAAAATAATCTGGTTCTTCTTGGTGTGATTGAAGTGGCATTGAGTAGGGGCTATTATTGCTATTATTACCCTGAGCTTGATACGCCTGATTATTTGGTGTTGGTGCAGACATATTTTGATACTGAGGTTGTTGGTATTGCATATTGTTTAGTTCTGGCTGCTGAGGAGGTAGCTGTTGAAAATAACGGTGTTGGTGTTGGCTTTGGTGGTGGTGCTGTTGATGCTGTTGTTGAAATGGTACATTGTTACTCGTCAAGGGGACTCCAGTCTGGTATTGAGCGCGATTTTGCACCTGAACTCCTCCTTCCTGTTGATTCTGGTGTTGATTCTGCTGGTATTGAGCGCGAGTTTGCGCCTTTACTCCTTCTTCCTGTTGTTGATTTTGATTTTGATTCTGGTGGTGGTGGTGGTAGCTATGATGATGGTTATGGTCCTCTTCTTGCTGGTCTAGAAAAGCTTGCGGCAACAAATGTGCTGGTATATTTACCGCATTGACCATTTCTCTATAGCAATATATACGACGCTCCTACTTGTTTCTATTTTGGTCAAATATGCGAACTTAAAACTCAAAGTAGCCGATAAAAACGAAAAATGAGCTATTACTTTTCTATGTTACAAATATTACATATATAAAAATGAACCTTACAAAATAGAATGAACTAACAATACTTGAATTTTAAATTTTTTTTTTCTCTCTCTCTCTCTTTCTCTCTTTCCTGGCTTTCTCTTAATGATTTGTTCACACTTCTATCCTTCTTTGGAGGGAAATAAATTTTTCAGTTCCTTCTTTTTGAATGCGACTGACTAAAAAAGGTAAAAAATACGCAGGTTGAAGGCAGTAAAATGAGTAGCAGTAAAATGAGTAGTAGTAGTAAAAGTCGCATTAAAAGTAGCAGCAGTTATAGCAGCAGTTATAAGAATAGCAGTGTCTACAGAAGATGCATATTTATCTATTTCAATTTTGTATGTGTGTATGTGTGTGTGGAGAAGTTTGCAAGTAGTAAAGAGTAAATCGTAACTTTTTTTTTTTTCTTTGGTTTCTGGTAGCAGTCACATCACAAAAGTGAGAGAATTGCAAAATAAAATATTTTGCATGGGGAAAGAACTGGACAAAGATTCACCTAAATCTTGAATAAGTAACATTTGAGTAAAAATACATCTCTACCCACTACAATACTCTACAAAATTATACAGTTTAAAGGACACTACAAAGGGAATTTATACTTGCTGGGTGGGTTTTTCACTGGGTTAGTTTTAGTTCACATGGTAGCGCAGTTATATGTGTATAAATATATATATATATTTGCTTTTGTTTTTGCTTTTGCTTTTGCTGGGCACACACAAGTTATACTTTTATACACCAAAGTAGTTGTTTTTCCCATATTTAGGTAAAATTTTCGTAATTGATCACATTAAACTGAAAGTAGTAACAAATCAAAAACAATTCTCCTCCACTATCGAGCAGAGTGAGATAATGGAGCAACACTTTGTAAACACTATCGAGCAGAGCGAGATAGTGGAGCAATGCTTTATAGACACTATCGAGCAGAGCGAGATAGTGGAGCAACACTTTGTAGCCATACTATTGACACTATCGAGCAGAGCAACACTTTGTAGCCTATTGACACTATCGAGAAGAGCTACACTTTGTGGCCATACTATGGACACTATCGAGAGAGCGAGACAGTGGAGCAACACTTTGTAGCCATACTTTGACACTATCGAGAGAGCGAAATAGTGGAGCTACACTTTGTAGCCATACTATCGACACTATCTCGCTCTGCTCAATAGTGTCCTGCTCAGTGTCCCGCTCAATAGTGTCCTGCTCAGTGTCCGGCTCAATAATATCGGTGAAGTAAGTTTTCCCTAGTTTTGAAACAGTAAGCTAAAAACAAAAGCTTTTAATCAAAATGTAACTCTTGTCAACAAATAATTTTTCGATTGTTTCATATCCAGATTAGTCTTGAAGATCAGATTAATTTCTTTTTTTCTTTCCTTTCAAGCAAATTCTTCTCACCAAAATGATTTATAGTACTATATTGTTATTTTTAGTTGATAGAATAGATTTCGACGCCGCTTAAAAGAATACAAAGCTATGAAAAAAAAAGGATTCCCCTCTTAAAACTTCTTTATCATCACACGACGAATCAGCAATCTACATCTTGTATTTGAAACTTGCGAAACTGGATGCTTTTAGTCACACAAGTGTTAGAACTATGAAACTGCAATGCAATATTTACAACAATTAGTATAATTGATCATGGTAACCAACCCATTCGCTTGTGAAGTAAGGGGGAAAAGAAAAAGTACATCTATATCAAACAACTATAAAAGAAACTTTTTCCCGCTATGTTTTCTTTTTTCAATAGAGAGAGAAAATTAATTGTGTATCGCGAGAATTTTAAACACCTCTCTTTCCACTTGGACTCCCCCCCCCACCCCCTCCTGCCCCATCCCAAATCTTGATTTATCCATAAAAATTCCTTACACACGGGTTTAAGTTCTCTTGAATACCCAGAAATTGAACAAGTCAAATCTCAAGCGTAAGAAGTTGAAAGCGACATTTGAACTCCGCAAAAAAAGAAATTGGTTATTTTTAATTACCAATGGAGATGAGCTAGTTGGCGGGAAAACGAGATTTAATTCAATTCAATGCAAGTTTTTTTTTTTTTTCCCTCTTTTTCTTTTTCAAAACCGTTGACACATTAGATACCTCTTCTAAATAAGTTGAGAAACATACGGGGTTTGATTGTGTTCCAACTATAGGCCTCAGGTTGGAAGAATCATCTTATTTTCAAGATTATTTTTACTCCACAACGGCCAAATCCAAAACTAAACTACTGCTTCACACAGAAGGAAAGAGATAGATAAAGAAGAAGAAGAAAAAAAAAAAAAAAAGAGAGAGTTTGTGTGTGTGTGTTTAAATGGTTCACGAAGCAGAATTTTTACCTTCAACAGGCTCCTCCATATCCTCAGTTTTACAAGGAGGCTATAATCACCCTTTGTCTCGAGAATGGCAACAGGAAAAACAACTCACAAAGAATATGTTCATATTCCCGCTATTTGTTTCCGATGATCCAGATGAAGAAACACCGATACCTTCATTACCAAATATCAAGAGGTTTGGAGTCAACAAGTTGATACCGTATGTTGATACTTTGGTGAAAAAAGGACTTAGAGCAGTGATTTTGTTTGGTGTGATTTTAAAAAAAGGGGTCAAAGATGATATAGGTAGTGCCGCTGATGATCCAGAAGGTCCAGTGATATCAAGTATTAAATTGTTGAGAATAAATTTTCCCGATTTGTTCATAATGTGTGATGTTTGTCTCTGCGAATATACGGATCATGGCCACTGTGGTGTTTTGAACGAAGATGGCTCTTTGAAAAGAGAATCATCCGTACGGAGAATCGCTGCTGTCGCTGTTAACTATGCAAAGGCCGGGGCTCACTCAGTTGCGCCTTCAGATATGATGGACGGTAGAATTAAGGATATTAAATTGGGATTGATAGAAGCCGGATTAGCCCACAGATGTCTCGTTATGTCGTATGCTGCAAAATTCTCGGGAAATTTGTATGGACCGTTTAGAGATGCCGCCGGTTCGGCACCAAGTCTTGGAGACAGAAAAGCGTACCAGTTGCCACCTGGGGGTGCTGGCTTGGCCAGAAGAGCTTTGTTGAGAGATATGCAGGAAGGAGCTGATGCTATTATAGTTAAACCGTCTACATTCTATTTGGACATTGTAAGTGATGCAAGTAAATTGTGTCGAAATTATCCAGTATGTGCCTATCATGTTAGTGGAGAGTATGCTATGTTACATGCAGCTGCAGAAAAGGGTGTTGTTGACTTGAAAGGCATTGCGTTTGAGGCACACCAAGGATTGGTTAGAGCTGGCGCTAGGTTGATTATAAGTTATTTCACCCCTGAATTTTTGGAGTGGTTGCAAGTGTAAAAATAAAAACAAAATAAAAATGCTTAATGCAAAATAATGGTTTGTACAGTTTTTTAATTTTTTTTTTGGTATCTATCTTCTTTTAGTGATGAGTTGACCTATATTGCTATTGGCTCAGGTTCATATTCAACCGATTGTTGTCGTTCTTTTTCTGAGCTTTTGTCTTTTATAGCATTGGTAGGTACATCTGGTAAGATTTGAATTTGCTCTTTTGGAACAGAAGGTAATTTTGTTACCTTCAGTATATTCCTTTTTGTCTCTACTTTATTTTCTTCCATATTTAATTTTTCAAACTCCTCATCGATTGCTTCTTCATCAACACGACTCAATCCTGAGTCGAGTCCCAACGTTTGACTTATTTCCTCTTCTTTCAACTTCTCTTCTTCTAGATCATCAAGTATTTTATCTATCTTTTCAACATTCATTTCACCATTCAACTGTTTTAAAACTGCATTGCCCTGTTGCAACCCGTATAATACATCTTTTTCAATCAACTTGTATTCTATAGAGCCGATTAGTTTTTCCAAAGTATCAAGTTGGTCAAATGTCTTGGTTATAGTCGATTCTTGTTGCCTCTTAAGCCGCAAGTAAAACTTTGCTCGTTCGGGCTGTTTCTTCAAAATGGCCTTTCGTGCCAACTCCGTTTGTTTGTTACAAAGAAGACTTAGTTTCCGTTGATGTAGTTTTATCTTATCTCGCTGTTGTTTGAGTTGGAAGATTGCTCTATCTTGAGCTGTTATTTTAGGAGCACTCGGTTGATTTCCCATATCGGTTCCGTAGTATATACTTACTATCAATTAAATCAATCAATCTAATTCCGTTTTGTTTTCTCTTCTTTTGTTTTTTCTTTGCCATAGTTTCTCTCGTTTTGCACGACAAGAGTTAGCCACAACCCTTATCTATAGACTGAGGAGTTGTTATCGCATACAAAGAGTTGGTGGTGGTGATATAAATCAAGTTGTACTTATAAAAAGGGTGTAAATGTAAACGATATATGAGCTATATCCAAATATAAATTATCATTGAGCTATATCCAATTATAAATTATCATTGAGTTTTATTCAAATATTCTTCTTGCTCTTTTTCTTCTCTTCCTCCTCCTTCTCCCCCAAGTCTCTCTCTTTCAAGCTTTTACCTCTGCCTAATTTGTCATAAACAATTGATTGACCCAACAATACTGAGTTCATAACTGATGAAGTTACATATCCAGCCAAGAGGATTTTCTCGTCAATGGTATTTTTGTTTCTTTCTGCCTTTGTCTTGTAATCGGTATATGAAGTGTAAACCCTAATCAATGATCCAACAACGTTTGCTTTCAACACAACATCACTTAAATGGGAAACTGTTTTTAATCTGTAATTTGCAGTAATTTGAGGAATTTTGGCAATAATTGAAATTGGGATATTCAAAATTTCCAATACTGAAATTAAGTTAGATGGTGCAATTTGGGTGAAGAAGATCACCGAAGCAATCATGACACCAATTGGTTGGACCAATCCTCTCGCAATAACCTTCAATTGCTCTAGAACTGGTAAGTTTTGCAAATTTTGTATTTCCCCTTCTTCTCTTAACCTGTAGAATTTTGTCAACAAAATAATAAGTGCATTTTGTATACCCAATAATAAGCTCTCCCCATAGTTGATAAACGGAATGTTATGTTGTGAATTAAATGCTATATGAACCAAATTATTCAACGTATCGATTGATAAGCTTTGCAAAGATAATCCTTTAGCAACTCTGATTCTATCCGCCTCACTCTTGATTAATAACTTTCTAATTTGAGGTACCCTAATGAAAGATGAGACACCAACCATTAAACTACTCAATAAAGCAGCCAATACTTTACCAATACCGATTGCTTTAACCTGAGACCAGGCCATTTGCAAAACTACTTTCTTGGACACATCTGGATCAAGTAGCAAGTTTATCAACATGAATAGTGGCGACCCCATTTTACCTCAAACTTACCTTATTCTAAAACCTCAAAGAGTAAAACTATGTTTTTTTTCAAAAAAAAAAAAAAAAAAAAGGGGATTACAAGAAAAAGATGTTGAACTGTTTATTGATTTGCTAAATTCAATCAAACCTTTGACACTTTATAACAAAACGTAACTGGTGAAAAATAAAAGGAAAAAAAAAATATATATATATATATATATATAATCGATAATATATATATTAATTACATTCTAGAGGGTTTTTTTTTTTTTTTAATGGACATTGTATGAAGAAATATGTCACCTATATTATTATCATTATATTGGTCACTACGAGTTGCCTTACTGGTGAGTCTAATATGAATACCTTATATAGATAGTACTGATTCTATACCAATCTTCTTTAGACGGATAAAAAAAAAACACACACAACTAAATCATATGTCAATTGATAAAGAAAAATTGTTACATTAGCTAGCAATTTATTTTTCCGCCGTATACCCCACATAAGTGTTTCGCTATTGAGTATTCAATTTATACTTGGTAGCACTAGTAATACTGTTTCCCATAAAAGGAAAGGTTGAATAATTGGGTGGAATTCGTAGATTTATCCTTCGTTTGCTACACAAGCAGCATGTGATATGTGATATATATGTTCTATTGGATGTTTTACCCACAACTCTACATACTATAACCTAGCTCAATAGTGTCGTTGACAGTCAGTGATCCACTATAGTACACCTACACTATATCGTGGTTTTTTATATATACATATATACTAACTCACTTTCCAAGTCAACCAAGATTAGCCAACTTTTTCTTCAATTCATTTTCCTTTGTTTCAATATATTTCAAATTCTCCAAATGAAGATTCAACAACTGTATGATTTCAAATAGATTTTTAGAATCTTGCTTTTTACTCTCTGATGATGATGATGATGATGACGATGATGACGATGAATGTTTATTCGTGTCATTGGTTTTAGCACGCACCGCTTGGTTCAAATTATTACTCATATTCTTATTAAACACATCGCTTATTGAATTCACTTCATTGATCAATGTGTTCAAACTTTCTCCTAATCCGTCTAGTCTTTCGTCTAGTAATTCGGCATTGAAGTATGCTTTTTCACGTAACTTATCAGTAACACTCATATTTGAAGTGAGGTTATAGTTGGACTGCTGTTGCTGTTGTTGTTGTTCATCCTTGCTAACTAAAGCTGTACTTGTGTTGGAGCCTGCAGATGCGGGTGTCCCAGAAATGGCTCCTTGTCTATTGACTGTAGCTGCAACGACTGGACTAAATACACCACTACCGCCACTATTCAACTCAATATTACTCAATAAGAGATCCGTCTGTTGTTCGTAATTGTCTAGTATTTTTTCCAATTCATCTTGTTGATTTTCAACAAAAAATAATTGTTGATCAATTTTAGTTTCCAATGCTTCCACTTCAATAGAATCTTGATTCAACTTGGTAATGGCGCTTTCACCTTCAACCAATTTTATGTCCCACTGTTTTACTTTATCTGTATACGTTTCAAAAATCTTTGATGTAGAATTTAATTGCTTTGACCATTTCAATATTAAGTCGTCAAGATTTTTATTATCAATTGATACGGGAATAGGCTCTATTTTAGTTGGTTTCAAAGTAGGCTGAACAGAATTTGTTGAAGATGCAGTTGCATATTCAGCTCCAGCGGTGGAAAAGTTGGTGGTGGTATTAGTTTTGTCTTTCTCATCCTTCTTGGCACCAAACAGGAACCCACTTGGTTTCTCCTTGTCCTCATCCTTCTTGGCACCAAACAGGAACCCACTTGTTTTCTCCTTGTCCTCATCCTTCTTGGCACCAAACAGGAACCCACTTGGTTTCTCCTTGTCCTCATCCTTTTTGGCACCAAACAGGAACCCACTTGGTTTCTCTTTATCCTCATCCTTCTTGGCACCAAACAGGAACCCACTTGGTTTCTCTTTATCCTCATCCTTCTTGGCACCAAACAGGAACCCACTTAGTTTCTCTTTATCCTCATCCTTCTTGGCACCAAACTGGAACCCACTTGGTTTCTCCTTGTCCTCATCCTTTTTGGCACCAAACAGGAACCCACTTGGTTTCTCTTTATCCTCATCCTTCTTGGCACCAAACAGGAACCCACTTGGTTTCTCTTTATCCTCATCCTTCTTGGCACCAAACAGGAACCCACTTGACAGTGTATTAGCACCAAACAAAGATTGAGATTTTGTGCCATCTTCCTTTTTGCCGCCTCCATTCAGTGAGATTGTGGCTGTTGACTCCTGTCCAGAGCCACCAGAAGTTGATGATCCAAAGAGATTCGAGCCGGTACTGGGTTTTCCGGTGTTTCCAGCCTCTGCTGAAGATACAGGCACATCCTTTTTGGCTCCAAAAAGTCCACCTGTAGAAGCGGCAGAAGTTGATGCTGTGTTAGCTCCAAAAAGTCCACCTGTAGAAGCGGCAGGGGTCGATGCTGTTTTAGCTCCAAAAAGTCCACCTGTAGAAGCGGCAGGAGTTGATTCTGTTTTAGCGCCAAATAATCCGCCTGAAGTGGTTGTAGTTGCAGATGTATCATCTTTTTTAGCGCCAAATAATCCGCCCGAGGTAGTTGCAGTTGTAGAAGCATCATCCTTTTTGGTTCCAAATAATCCACCTGTGGAAGCGGCCGGTGTCGCCTCTTTCTTTTCTCCGCCAAAAAGAAGGGCACTATTACTTGTCTTTCCAGGTTGCGAATTTAAAGCGGTTCCAAATACCGGCGTCTGCAGAGCACTTTTGGATCCAAATCCAAAAGCAGGTGCAGGTGATGAAGATGATTCTCCATCCTTTTTAGCACCGAAAGTTGCCCCACCTCCAAATAGGTTTCCAGCTGCTGGATTGCTTTGATTGGCTTGATTGCTACCAAAAGCAGAAGTAGATCCAAATGGAGAAGGGTTTGACTGTGGTTTTGTTGATGATCCAAATGCAGTCCCTGATGAAGCTTTTTGTGGGTCGGCTGGTTGAGTTCCCGTGGAACCAAATGCTGGCTGGGTTGACGCTTGTTGCCCTGTAGAATTACCTCCAAACAGCACAGAGGAATTGGAACCAGAACCAAATGCTGATGTTGTACCTGCACCTGCACCTGCTTGTATTGCTGGTTGAGATGCTTGACCGGAACCAAAGATTCCTCCTCCGCTGACTGTTGTAGGAGCTGAGTCCTCTTTTTTTCCAAAAGAGAATACTGCACCAGGCGTTGTTGTACCCTTATTGTTGCTCGTCGATTGATTAAATGCAGGTAACGTTGATGATGATGTTGATGTTGTTGTTGAGCCGCCTCCAAATGCAGAACTTGTCTTTGTTCCAAACGGGCTCGATATAGCTCCAGATTGCTGTTGATTGTTGTTAGCACCTCCAAATGAAAAGGAAGGCTGATTCGAAGTCAGTCCAAAAGCTCCGGCGCCTCCTGTGTTGGTTCCAAAACCACCAAATGCGCTTTGTTGTTGAGGTTGGCTTGCATTAGGATTTGTATTGTTGTTACTAGTTGTACCGAAGCCACCAAAAGAACCTTTACCTTGATTCGATGAACTGCTTCCAAACATGATCTTGCTATAATGAGAAAATCACACAAGGTTTGGTTGTAATTATTCAATCGATCTATATATATATATATAAATATATATATATCTCTTACAAAGATTTTCGATGAGAAGTATAAACCTTTTGTTTTCTCTCTCTTATATTTTTTTCTTTACAATTTTTTTTTTTTTTTTAGTTGCAATCGATTTTTTATTCTTTATTTCATTTTCTCATCTATACAAGTACAGACCCTACCCCCCCTATTTATTTCTTTTGACCTTGAGCGGCAACAGCGGCGGCACCAGCAGCAGCGGCTTCGGGATCCAAGTAGTAAGCAGGTTTAGTTGGTTTCAAATTCTCGTCCAATTCGTAGACCAATGGGATACCAGTTGGAATGTTCAAACCAGCAATTTCTTCATCTGAGATATTGTCCAAATGTTTGACCAAAGCCCTTAATGAGTTACCGTGTGCGGCAACCATAACGACTTTATTGTCTAATAAATCGCGGGCGATTTCGTCTTGCCAGTATGGCAATAATCTAACGATAACCAATTCCAAAGATTCAGCTAATGGAATACAAGCTGGGTCAATGTTTTCGTATCTTCTCTCACCAATTTGGGAATATTCACCATCAGCAGCAATTGGTGGTGGTGGAACATTGAATGATCTTCTCCAGGTTTGGAACTTTTCTTTTCCGTATTTTTCCAAAGTATTGGCCTTGTCCAATCCTTGTAAAGCACCATAGTGTCTTTCATTCAATCTCCAGGATCTCTTCACTGGAAGCCATAATTGGTCAGCTGCTTCCAAAGCAATGTTAGCGGTTTGAATGGCTCTCGACAATTGTGAAGTATAGCAAATATCAAGCTTGATACCTGCTTCTTGAATCAATTCACCAGCTCTCTTGGCTTCTTTTTTACCGGTTTCAGATAATCTACAATCAACCCAACCAGTAAACAAGTTCTTTTCGTTCCATTCCGATTGACCGTGTCTGACTAAAACTAACTTTGGCATTATTACTTTTGATTTCCTTCCTTACCTATTGAAACAAGAAGCAGAAAAAATAACCAGGGAGAGAAGAAGGGGAAAAATCGTTTGATCTTTATATAAGAAAGAGAGAGAGAGAGCGAAAAAAAAAATAGGTACGATAATTTGAAGGGCTTGATTCTTCCGAGATTATTCATGTAATCATGATAAATCCCATTCAAATACAACCTCTATATGTTCAAAGAAGAAGGGAAAAGTCCCCCGAAAAAAAAAAAAAAAGAAGAAGAAATAAGAACAATTAAAAAAAGTTGGCTCTTTATTATTGAAATTCAGCAAACTTTGTAAAATCAATATCAGGTACCAAACTGAAGGTTATTTTTGCTCTCGAGCTTTGTAGTGGTTTTATGATCCGCAGGGTTTGCAGCCAGCTCATATAATGTTACCACGGGGTCTCTGTTTAACTCGGTAAATTCTCCTCTTAGCTCAATTGAGTGGATACGACACTGGTCTTCATTTTCATCGTGAATGCTCTCTATATAAATCGTCAAATGCTCAACTCCAGTAAATTTATGCCGGGATAGAAAATGTTCCACAAAATCAGTGTCTGATATAATCTCATCCGATTCGTCGTTGGCTTCGCAAGCAACACCAATCTGTGGATGCTGAATAGTCTGAAGTGGAGCTTTTTGCTCTATATTATCGAAATCTATCGTCTTGTCGTTCTTAAATAGTTTTATTGTTTTGGGGCAATATAGGTCTCCATTTGTGCGTAGTATGATCGAATATAGTTTAACACTCCCGTTTAAAAAAGGGATATTGATGATCAATTGCTCGTCACAATCGGATTTGATGGTGGGGTTGATTTCGTACTTGTGGTCCTGCTCTTTGAACACTTTAGCTAAATCATCAGGTAAGTTGGCCATGTTCAAAGCAGACACTTTGAACGTGTCAATTTTGGCATTAAGCGATTGCGAGGAGGATGTAGGGATTGGTGCAATGTGATCATGATCATGGTTGTGGTTGTGGTTGTGATTATGGTTGTGATTATGGTAATGTTCGTCTTCGCAAGACATAGTGCAAATAAAAGTGCCGAGACTACAGAAAAGAAGGAGGAAGCAAAGGTGGTGGAAGAGTGAAAAGTTTAATGTATATTGTATGGTGGTGTGTGTATCTATGCAAAAAGACAAAGAGCTTTTTTCTAAATATAGTAGTCTACGGTTTTTCTATAAGGCCATACTACTGTATAAACATACAATCATTACCAAAACCCCCCAGATTGTCATTGCCAATGATAAACTTTTTAGGATCTTCTCTAAAGTGTTTGGATCGTCCAGCTCCGAACCAATTAATTTATAGCCAAACAAGCCTGGTAAAATAAATGAAATTGATGTAGAACCCGTAGCTCCAACAACTGCCAAAATAAAGGCAAATGACTCAACTGTAGCTGCAAGAATGTAGCCAATAATCAAAAGCACGATTGTGATGGTTATAAAGGCCATTTCAGGAAACGGTACTACATGAGTTTTCAATTGAATCTCTCTATCCCCTTCTTGTGTACTGTCAGAACCATTGAGTAATTGTGTGGTTTCGTTGGCAACAACCACTTCCTCCTCCTCCTCCTCCTCCTCCTCCTCCTCCTTCTTGATTCCCCTCTCTTTCTCAATCTTCTTTTTTGCTTCAAAATAGATATTGTTTACTGATATTCTTGCCGGGTGTAACATTAAAGGGAATGAAAAAACAACCATAAAAACGATGCTAAATCTTCCCAACGTGGTTGTCCAGTTATTTGGGTACAGTAAAATAACGTTGCCATTGACATTTGCGCCAAAGGTCAAATAACCAGAAATACCAACCAAAATGAATAACAAAGCAGCTACTGCTACTGCAAAGTTAACTAAACTAACCAATTTATTTAACGACTTATCTTTTGCTTCGTTAATAATCGAAAACATGTTTTGTTGACCGGTAAATGCAAATACTATGATTGAAAAAGTACTAAACACTTTGGTGACACTTGATGGGAAATACTCAATTATTCCAGATCTGGGAATATCACCAATTAACCAGTGTCCAACAACCAAAAGAGATATATATATTATTGCCCCCAATCCCAAAACCGATGTGTATTTCAAAGAGTCCAAATTCTTCAAAAAGGATAACGGAACTGTGAAAATCGTTGAAACAAGTAACCAGAATAACTTCAGCTGGTCTTGGCTAATATATGGCACATTAGTCACAATAGTAGGCATTAAATCGCCAATCAAAACAAGGTATGACACGGCACAACCAAAACATTGAATTGCTATAGCTACATCAAATACAACCGATAACTGAGGATACGTTATATTACATAAACTAAAAAAGGAAGCATGTCCAATACTTGTATATTTTGACACATAACATTGTAGGAATAACCCAAAACCTGATGTTACGGCGGCTACCAAGATGATGATTGTTCCAAAAATAGTTCCATCTGTAGAATACGCCAACGGCATGGACAACAACCCTGCACCTAGTATGGTTTTGAGAAGACTAATGGATGATGATAATGTAGAAGCACCATGCCTCAAATTGTTCTGGGAGGGCATTACTTTACATTAAGTGGGAAAAAAAAAATGGGTATATTCTGGTAAGATAATGTCAGAATGATGAGAGAGGAAAAGAGAAAGAGAGAGGGGGTGGGGGGGGGGAAAAAATAGCAAGAAAAACAAGATAGGCGAAAATGAAAGAAAACAAAGTAGAAGCAGAAGAACCTTTTATTTGACAAATTTACAATTTGGAAAGTGTAGTATTGCCAACTGAACGTTTGTTAATACTACAGTAAATTCTACTAGAAGTGTGGATTTATATGGATTACCAGAGTTGGCACGTGTCGCGAAAAAAAAATAAACAAAAAAAAAAAAAAGAAAACTCAACAAGACATAACCATTCTTTAAGGATGGTTATTCGGATAAATGATAGCCATATTATATAAACTGTAGTATCTAGAGACTAGTCGAGAGAAAGTGTAGAGAAGAGACTTATTGATTCCCACACGGGTTTATTAGTTATCCACTCAGATACACGAGGGATTCAACACTATCTCGCTCTGCTTGATAGTGTTGTAACAAGGTACTAAGCTACTAAGCTACTAAGTGTTGCTCCGCTATCGACCAACACTATCTCGCTCTGCTCAATTACTAAGCTACTAAGTGTAGAGCTATCTATATGGTTGGTTATGTTTTCATAACCAAGATGAAGTCTTTCTACTAATTATTACGCATATTGATTTCATTGTGGAAATAAAAGTCCATTTCCTCTTTTGGGTAGATTCCATCCCCCCGTGGGTTATAATGAATAATTGTTAGTAAGTCATGTAGTTACCATATCGATTCCCTTATATAAGTGAATCAATCCGAGGAAACAATTTGTGAAGAACAAGGGTATTTGAATTGGAAGAGCCAAAGATGGTTGATGTGCTTACAATTGTTTTTGCGTTTTTTCTTATCTACGGCGCATTTGCGCTGAACACAAATGCTACTGCAATTTCTACATTCACATACAACACCATCCCACCATATGAAGCGTTTGGGGTAAAACAATTACCGAACGTTTACAACAAGTCCGCTGTTGACGCCAATGAAGTGGCTCATGGGTATACTTTGGTTAATGTTTCTTCTACAAATCGTGGATTAACTGGTATCTTGAAACTCCGGGGAGCTACCAATATTTACGGTTACGATTTTGAGATTTTGAATTTGACTGTTGAGTATCAAAGTTGCAAGAGATTGAATGTTCATATAGAGCCAACTAACTTAACCGATGTCTATGTTCTACCAGATAATTTGGTCCCAAAGCCCAAGTTAGAACAAGAATCAAAAGAAGAAAGCTCACGGACGACACTAAACTTTGCTGATTCTGATTTAGTTTTTGATTACATTGAAGAAAACTTTGGATTTGAAATAAGTAGAGCTTCAACCGGTGAAGTATTATTTTCAACTGTTGGTAATCCATTGGTTTTTTCAAACCAGTTTATTCAATTGAATACGAGCTTACCCCAGAATCATACAATTAAAGGTTTGGGGGAGACATTTGGTGGATCTATAAATGAACCAGGTTCAGTTAGGACTTTATACGCAAATGGAGCATCTGACCCCATCAACGGGAATTTATACAGTGTTCACCCAGTCTATTATGACCAAAGATACGACTCCAATACAACTCACGCAGTTTATTGGAGGTCCTCAGCTATACAAGAAGTCGTAATTGGAGAAGAATCCTTAACTTGGAGAGCTTTATCTGGGATAATTGACTTGTATTTCTTTAGTGGGCCGATCCCAAAAGACGCTGTAAGCCAATACGTTACTACAATTGGGTTGCCATGCATGCAGCCGTATTGGGCATTGGGGTATCATCAAAGTAGATGGGGATACGCTACTCTAAAAGAGTTGAAGACGGTTGTTGAGAACTTCAAGAAGTTTGACATACCATTGGAGACTATTTGGACTGATATCGATTACATGGATAACTATAAAGACTATACAACAGATCCAGTACGTTATCCCGCTGCTGAGTTTAAGGATTTTTTACTCGAGTTGCACAACAACCTGCAACATTATGTTCCAAATATGGATGCTGGTATATACGTTCCGAATCCAAACAATGCCACTGACAATGATTATCCCCCTTTCCATCAAGGTAATGATCTGGATATTTTTATTATGAACCCAGATGGATCTTTGTATATTGGCGCTATGTGGCCAGGATACACAGCATGGCCCGATTATATCAAAAATGAAAGCACCACTTACATTGGCAACCAACTTGCTGCATGGTATGAAGAAGTGGCTTTTGATGGGCTCATGACAGATGAGAACGAAATCAGTTCGTTTTGTGTTGGTAGCTGTGGCTCTGGAAAAATCCTGGACAACCCTGTACGTAGAGCATCCACACCTGCTGCTGAACAGGCGTTTCCCTTGGGATTTAACGTTACCAATGCTACCGAGTACAGTGCCATTAACGCATCGTATTATGCTACAGCAAAGCTTTTATCCCCCTCGTCCACCGTCTCATCATTATTATCGTCAAGTGCTACTACTTCTCTCGATGGGCATAATACTTTGAAACCAGGGAAAGGAAACATCAATTATCCTCCTTATGCCATTAACAATGCTCAGTCTGATCATGATCTTGCAACTCATGCTGTTGCGATGAATGCTACTCACCATGATGGAACTGTAATGTATGATGTTAGAAACATTTATGGCTTTTTGCAAAATAAAGCAATCTATCGTGGTCTCGTTGAATTGCATCCTAACAAAAGACCTTTCATTATAGGTCGATCAACGTTTGCTGGGTCAGGCAAATATGTGGGGACCTGGGGTGGTGACAATGTGGCCAATTATTTTTCAATGTACTTTTCAATCCCTCAAGCAATAGCATTTGGTTCTTTTGGTGTGCCCTTTTTTGGTGCTGATGTTTGTGGATATGGTGAAAATACCGATATGGAGTTATGTTCCAGGTGGATGCAACTCGGATCATTTTTACCCTTTTTCAGGAACCATAATGAGATTGGTAGGATTTCTCAAGAACCATATGTGTGGGAGGCAGTTGCCAATGCTTCAAGAGCATCAATTGGGGTGAGGTATCTGTTGTTGCCATACTATTACACTTTGATGCATGAGGCACATGTTACCGGGTTGCCATACATTAGATCCTTGAGTTTTCAATTTCCATACGACAAGCTTTTACGTGGAATTGACAACCAGTTCTTTGTTGGTGATGCATTAATTGTTACACCAGTGTTAGAGCCAGGTGTCAATTACACCAAGGGAGTTTTCCCAGGGGTTGACAACACTACTGTGTACTATGATTTTTATACAAGATCCAGAATGAACTTCACTGCAGGTACTAATGAAACATTGGCAGCTCTGTTGGGACATATTCCCTTACACATTAGAGGTGGATACATTATACCAACACAAAAGCCAGGTTATACTATCGCAGAGTCGAGATTGAATCCTTTTCAGTTGATTGTAGCTTTAGATCGTCATGGTTCAGCTTTAGGGAGGTTGTATTTAGATGACGGAGAGTCTATTGATGTAGATAAGTCGTTAATGGTGAAATTAGCCGCGAACGATAATAAGTTGGTTGCCATACCGGTTGGTGAATATAATGCGTCTCAACCATTGGATACGATCACCATCTTGGGTATTGAAGCAAAACCAAACCTGGTTAAATTTAACGGTGCTAGTGTAGACTATACGTTTAATGGCACTACAGTTTTTATCACAAGATTGGACAAGTTTACACAACTGGGAGCTTTTGCTAAAAGGTTTGAAGTTGAATGGGATTGACACTAACTGCCATCGACACCATCGAGCGAAGCGAGATAGTGCTGCACACTACCTGCTATAGGGTAGTAGTTCTGTATAAAAGTAGAGTTTACACAACCAAAAGCTTTAGGCAAAGTGTCAAGTTTACACAACCGGAAGCTTTAGGCGAAAAGTGTCAAGTTTACTGAACTGGTAGCTTTTGGCGAAAGGTGTCACTAGTGTCAATGACAGTCAGTGCTGCTCCACTATCGAGCGAAGCGAGATAGTGTCGGTGTCGATAGCGTCGGTGACAGTCGGTGCTGCTCCACTATCTCGCTTCGCTCGATAGTGTCGATAGTGTCGATAGTGTCAGTAACAGTCAGTGCTGCTCGACTATCTCGCTTTGCTCGATAGTCTATAGTATTTTTATTTTTTCCAATTACAACTCAGTAGCAATTAAACAAAATGCCAATGAAATTTCTCCAGATTCATTCTCTGCAAGATGAAAGGGCCAATAGAAGAATCAAAGCGAGACTAAGTTTATCGCGTTATTGTCTCTACATTTTTTTAGTATCGCCAAGTCTGTAATTGGTACTGTATACTTTACCCTGTTTACTGTTTACAATAGACTATTTATACCTTACGACTTACGTCATTGAAAATCTTGTCTACTATTTTCCACTTAGCTAATTTATAGAGCAAAAAAAAAATAAAAAAAAATTTAAAATTCAAATTGATTACTAGGAATTGCATAAACAAATGAATCGACTCTCAAAATTTAGTAAACCTTACAAGTAATACCGTATCTCTTTAGTGTCAATAATTTTGTTATATATATATATATTTTTTTTTTTTCTTTTGCTTTTCCTAAAGGTGTTGAGAAAATTCAAGTTGCTTGTTATATACATTGGACATTTTTCCAGGCCCAGAATTTTAGAGAGAAACAGTTGCTCCATTTCTCATATAGATTTTTCAAAATTTTTGGACCAAAAAAAGGGTGTTTAATTGCCACCAATCTTTTACCCAAATTACAAGTTTTCCCCTTTTGTCTTTTTGTTTTTTCTTCTATTTTTTCGGGTTTTTTTTTTTTTAGTTTTAGAGTTTTTTTTTTACTACTACTAATCGCTTACAATAAAGTTTTCAGTGTGCCAGTATAACCCCAGTCATGTCGTCTGATGGGGAATTTACAAGAACCCAGATATTTGGTACCGTGTTTGAAATCACAAATAGGTACACCGACCTAAATCCAGTAGGCATGGGAGCTTTTGGATTAGTCTGCTCTGCCGTGGACAAGCTAACTGGTCAAAATGTGGCAGTGAAAAAGATCATGAAACCCTTTTCCACTTCGGTGTTGGCGAAGAGGACATATAGGGAATTGAAGTTGTTGAAACATTTGAGGCATGAAAATTTGATCACTTTGGACGATATATTTATTTCACCTTTGGAAGACATTTACTTTGTTAACGAACTACAAGGTACAGATTTGCACCGATTATTGACATCGAGACCTTTGGAAAAACAGTTTATTCAATACTTTACCTACCAAATATTAAGAGGTTTGAAATACATCCATTCAGCTGGTGTAATACATCGTGATTTAAAACCTTCCAATATTTTGATAAATGAGAATTGTGACTTGAAGATTTGCGATTTTGGGTTAGCAAGAATTCAGGATCCTCAAATGACAGGTTACGTGTCCACAAGGTATTATCGTGCACCGGAAATTATGTTGACTTGGCAGAAATATGATACAGAGGTTGATTTATGGTCTGTTGGTTGTATATTAGCAGAAATGATTGAAGGAAAACCTCTTTTCCCAGGTAAGGATCATGTACATCAATTCTCGATCATAACCGAGTTGCTAGGTAGCCCACCACCAGATGTAATTGATACTATATGTTCTGAAAACACTTTGAGATTTGTTCAAACATTCGCTCATAGAGAACCTATCCCTCTTAGTGAAAGATTTGCTTCTTGCACGCATGTTGAACAAGAAGCAATTGATTTATTGGCTAAGATGTTAGTGTTTGATCCTAAGAAGAGAATAAGCGCTGCAGAAGCTTTGACTGATCCATATATGGAGCCATATCACGATCCAACTGATGAACCAGTGTGCGAAACAAAATTCGACTGGAGTTTCAACGATGCCGATTTGCCTGTCGATAGTTGGAGAGTCATGATGTATAGCGAAATCTTAGATTTCCATCAAAGTATTGGAGTAGGTGGCAGTGGGATAGATTTGGAGCAACAACAGGTGAGTGATGCAAACGGAGATACTCAGAAGTTGGAGCAATTTAGTCAACAGCTGCAGCAGCAAGATCAACAACAAGATCAACAACAAGATCAACAACAAGATCAACAACAAGATCAACATTCACGGCAGCAAGCGCAAGAGCAAAGTATTTAGAGTTATAGAGGTAATGTAAATTTTGTTGTACACCAGATGATTTACCAGTGTCCAAAAAAGTTGTTTTCTCTCTTACTTATTTTTATTTTTCATATTTTTCCAACTCCATAGGGAGATTGGTTTTTTTTTTTTTCCTTTTTTTTTTGGTTCCAGATAATGCAAAATTAAATGACAGTGACATTGGATTCCCCACCTCGTTCTAAGGTGTTTGAAAAGCAGTTGGATGAACATTTATTGATCAAATTAAGATACTTAACGGCGGCCGGCAGTAGTAGCAGCAACATTGGCGGCAGCGGTAGTAACAGTAGCAGGAGCACCACCACTTCCACCACTCAAACATGCGAACTCACTTTTCAAAATACATCTGAAAATGAGATTGTGATTAACCCCGAAAGGCCCACGTCTGAGAGTACCAGCTGGTTTCCGAGTATATTCAAGACCACAGACTCAAGCGAGCTGAGCAAGATGTTGAATAAAAACAATGATAAAACAGTAGAGCTTTTTCTTGGGTATGTTCAAATCTTTGGTTATGTTGTTTTGAATTATAAGTTTAATCTAGATACATCGACTTTAGAAATGAACAGACACCACCAATGGTGGAATAATGCACACTACCTTGATCAATATGCTCACAAGGATGACAAGGGAACCGAGGAGAAGGATGACGAGTGGAAAATCGAAACAACACCTTTTATACTTCAACATATAGATCAAAAAATAAAAGTAGGAGGCAAGTTAGCCGGGGTAACAGATTTAGCCATGGATCTCCCCGACAACGCGACTACAAATAATGCCAGCCTTCTTTTTGATCTCATTGGTAATTTCAACACCCATTCGCTGTCAAAGGATGCACTCCCACTTAATGAATTTGTCGATTCAATTGTTCCAATATATGCAACTCCTCAATCGCTAATTTTCACTAATGTGGCCCTTGCCAAAGGTTCGTCTCGTACGTTTCGGTTCCAAATACCAATCAATGACCGTCTACCGCCAAGTTACAATACGAGACTGACGGGAATAGCGTGTGATCAAGGATGGACGAGTATCAGATTCTCTTTGGTGGTTAGTTTACACCAAGATAGTCTAACAACCAGACCAAAGACAATATACTTTCCTTTACAAATCCGACTTCCCAAGCACCCTTCAAGTAAATTTTTACAAAAGATTATCTTTGGAGACAGGATAGGTTTAGATAAGGATTGGACTATTTCAGATGCAACAAAGTCGGTTGCTGCTGAAGAAGTGAGATCAAAGAATTCGGCCAAAAAGGATTTTTTACTTGATCTTTCATCTTTGATAGATTCAGATTTGTACAATATGCCAAAGGTTTCCACTAGTGAACGACGAAGAAGCAGTACCAACAATTTACATACAGAGGCACATGGTGACTACATAACGCAACTTCCCTCGCATTTGAAAACTCTGTACTTTTTGAAAGTTAATAATAAGGACTTGTGCAAAATCTCGATTTCCAAACCTTACTATAATATAGGCGATGACGTTCACTTTAGCATTGATATGGATCTAAAAGGTGCTAACAAAATCATTGGAGTTAATGGATATTTGGAGACTTGTGAGGTATACCACACACCAGCAAAGGAAATCAAGAATGTTTACAAAGCTACGGGGAATGTAAAACTAAACCTTTTAGCCTCAGCTATGAGCAACATATCCTCGTCATGTATAGTTAATGACTACCTCAACATCCCAAAGTTTCTTTCACCACAATTTCAAAGCACAGCTTTTATGGATTTAAAGTATTTTTTGACATTTCAATTTAACTTTGCAAATTTTTCCTTATTGAACAAAGAGAATCCGGATCTTGGCAAAGCTTTTGCACCCGGAAAAATACTCAGAGGAGAGATGGTGGGTAGCACGTACACATTTCGCGTTCCTTTGTATGTAATAAATTGAATAGCGATAATACGGGCCAATCAACACACACACATATATATATATATAATAGAATAAAAATAGGATATGCTTTTTACTCTCTAGATCTACCATCTCTTTCTTCCTTGCACACGAAATAATTTTGAAAGTTTACGCGGAAAAATTTTTTTTTTTTTTTTTTTTTTTTTTTTTTTTTCTTTGGAGAGGGCCCTCTATACGCAATAACCCATTTCCTAGTTTGTACACCTATAAACTCTATTTGAAGTATCAAGTAGAAATTGTCAAGTAGAGAGGTTGAAAACAGATGCCAGGGGTGCGTGCAGGTGTGTGGGTGTTTACGTGCAGGTGTGCAGGTGTGTGGGTGTTTGCGTGCAGGTGTATATGTGTGGTTTTTTGGAGAAGGTGGTTCTGGACAATCTAACAATTAAAGACCAGACTTTTTCCTTTTTCAGATTCTATTCTTTTTTTGCAATCAACAAAATTTCCTAATTAGGTTAACAGATTTTGTAACTCTAATTATGACAGTTGATGGTTTTTTCTTGTCTTGGAAAAGAAAAAAAAAAAACCCCCCATAAAAAAAAAAAAGATCAAGATTGAAATTTTCACATCTTTTGTTTTAATTCAAGTTTAGTACCTCGAAAATAACTTTTACCTCCTTCAGTAATGAATTCAGAATTCGTATACTTATCGGGGCAGTGTGCTAATCACCGAAGTGATACGATATGCCTGAATTTCTCTATGTGAGGATTTTTTTTTTCTTTCCACCCATCTATAAAAAGAAGATATTATCCTTCCTTATCCCCCCTCTACTCTACCCCTGATTTTATTCTTGTTTCTTTCAATTACTCTGCAAGCTTCACTCGTTTTCTTCTTTTTATTTGATTTACAACAATGAGGTTATCAGCAGTTTTGGTCTCTACGTTTTCGATTGCAAGTGTTGCTCAATCGCAATATATCAGTCCTGCTTCGGATCCTTTGTCATTAGATGTTACTCCTAGAGATTTGACAGATTTGTACCAAATACAGGAGAGGGATCTAGCTTCATTTGTCGGAGGTTTACTATCGGAGATCAATGTTACATCAATTGTGGACTCGATAAATTTTGACGAAATTGCAGGATGGGTGAATGGGTTATTAACCGAGAATGACAATGTCAAATATTTAGATTATATTTTGGACTTTTTGGGCAGTACAAATTTGGTTCCCGCTGCTATAAGTTTTATCGTTTCCAATAATGCAACTAGATCCATTGCTTATGATGTAGTAATTGAATTATTAGGAATCAGTTCACAGTTTGATCTTACTCCAGTTTTTGTGGCTTTGAAAAATTCCGGGTTGGCTTATACCTTAATTGCTGATTTAATTGAAAATCCAAACACTTTGCCTTTTGTTATTAATGTTCTTAAAGATACATTGAGTGGTAGTTCGATTGGAGAAATTTTAGGCGGTAGTGGAGGAAGTGGTAGTGTAAGTGCTGCTGCTGTTGCTTCTCAAATCACATTTGCTACTTCTAATGTTGTTGGTAATTCTGCTGGTTCTGGTTCTGCAAGTAGTTTATACTTTGGAGATGCGCCTGGCTCTGTCAACACTAACGATATCAATACTGCTAGTATTGCGCAATTAATTTCTGAAGCTGCTCAACAAACAGAAGGCGGGGCTACGACTACTATTGGAGCTACCAAAACAGAATCAGTACCAGCCGCCTTGAGTAATGCTGCTGCATCATTTATCACAAGTGCAGCTGCTGCATTAAGTACTGGCGAGGTAACTTCCTACGATTTTGCAACCTTGACGGGACCTGCATTCCAGTCGCTTCCACCATCGCAATTTGGTGAGGGCCCAACAACCATCGACTACTCAGCTTTGGGCCAACTCACAGCTGTTATTGGTGGTAGTGGTAGCCAAAAGAGAGATGCAGTATATAAAGTATTAGAGGAGATCAATAAAAGACAAGAAGAAAAAACTGCACAGGACGAAGTTGAAACATCCTTGATGATCAAGAGGGATGACGAGGTTGAAACAGCATTGATGAAGATGAAGAGGGACAACATTGAAGATTTGTTGACTACTATTTTTTCGTCGATTGTTAGATCCAACTTGTTAAACGATACCATTCAATACTTGGTTACCGATGAGAAATTTGAAGGCTCGGTAGTATACTTGTTACAAGGTATCTTTCAAAACATTGGTTCTACTTTAAGTGGTGTTTTAAGCACCGACTGGTCAAAGATTGTGCCATTGGTGAAACAATTGTTGAACTCTGGTTTATTGACTGATATTATCACAAGGGCTTTCAACGATGAAGATTTAAAAAATGCTTTATACAGAGATATTCAATCCCTTTTCAAGAGGGATTTGATTGCTAGAGACCAAGTGGTATCGGCTTTCACATTGAATGTCGTCACCACAACTACAGCTTCCAACTACAATGTCAACTCTACTTCGGCATCCTCAGTTGTCAATGCTACCGTTTCAACAATTGATGCTGTGAATGCCGGTTCTCCAGCTTCACTCAACTTTGTCCCAATAGTACTTGGCGCTATTGGGTTCTCAGCCTTGGTATTATAAAAGTGACACATACACACATACACACACACACACACATCACTTTTAGAGAAAAATATACCTCGTTTCTTCATTTCTTCATTTTCCTTCACTTCACAATAGAGAGTTTTTCTTATTATCACAATGTATATTTTATCTTTTTTCCAGAAAAGAATGTTTGCTTTAATGCAAAGAAAAATTATAAACAAGCTGAAGTAATTATAACAGTATATAATCTTTTGTTTAATTCTTTTTTTTCTTTTTTCTCACTTACTCTCTCTTCTGGTAATGGTATATTGAACTCCGAAGTAGGTAACGTTTAAGGTAACCAGATGCTGACCAAGTCCAACCTCAGCTCCCAATTGAAGGGAGAAAATGAAGATAAGGGCAGAATTGAAGAGAAGAACCAAAGTGCTGGGCAAAGTTTTTCCTTGTTAGGTGCACCAGTTGAAATGGATGAGTATGAACATGGATTTGATGAAGATAGCGATGATGGTTTAACAACAACAAATTCGGCTCATTTTTCAACGTCTCAAGATAGGTTCATAAAGGATCAAGATTTGAAGCAGAAAACATTAGAGGCATTACACAGCGGCCATGGAAGCGGAATGCCGCAACCATCACCGCCACCTTTGCAATCATTGCCCCAATCATTATCATCATCATCGCCGCCGCCGCAGCAGCAGCCGGGGTTAATCAACATCAGCTCAAAAAGACAACCATCGGTGATTGATATGCCGTATCACAATTTTCATCCTTCCCCGGGGCAAGCTTCTCATTTGATGGCAGCAAACAGTGGCTCAAATTCCACAGCCACAAGTGCATTTCCCGAGGAATATCCATCAGACGAATTAATTGAATATTACGAGAATGTTAGAATTTGCTTAGACTTTCGTCACAAGTATTTGAATCTCTCTTTGCAAACTCCCGAGCTGTCAAATCCTAAAAACAAGTCTGAGTGGAAAATATACCCGCCACCACCAAAGCCAACTTACAAGTCAAAGAACAAATTCAATCGGATTCTCAAACCTGCTGGGAAAAAGAAGGAAAAGAAGGAAAAGACTGACAATCAGGAAAAAGATGCAAGAGAAGTTAAAGGAGAAGGAGAAGATGACGGTGACGGTGACGGTGACGATGACGATGATGAAGAAGAAGAGATATTTGATTTCAACAAATGTACCATTCCAGATTTAAGTGAGAGTGAATACTACTTCACCTTGGATAGTGAAGGGGTATTCCAAGTGTATGATTCAAAAGACGAGAAACAGGTGACGATTCCCAATTTACACCAATACTATTATGACTTGAGCGTCATGAGCAGGATTTCATCTGATGGTCCAACAAAATCTTTTGCTTTCAAGAGATTACAATATCTCGAAGCAAAATGGAACATGTACTACTTGTTGAATGAGTTTGAAGAGACTAAAAAATCAAAGCAAAACCCTCATCGTGATTTTTACAATGTTCGTAAGGTAGACACGCATATTCACCAATCAGCTTGTATGAACCAAAAACATTTGCTTAGATTCATCAAGTACAAATTGAAGACCGATCCAGACCTGCCTGTGATTTTCCGTGATGGGAAAATCTTGACATTGGCCGAAGTGTTCAAGTCGTTGAATTTGACTGCATATGACTTGTCTATTGATACTTTGGATATGCATGCACATACGGACACTTTTCATAGATTCGACAAGTTCAACTTAAAATATAACCCCATTGGGGAGTCAAGATTGAGAGAGATTTTTTTGAAAACAGACAATTTCATAAAGGGGAAGTACTTGGCAGAGCTTACTGGACAAGTAATGGAGGATTTGGAGAGTTCGAAATACCAAATGAGCGAGCTTAGAATTTCAATTTATGGTAGATCGATTCACGAGTGGGATAAGTTGGCTGCTTGGATCGTGGATAATAAATTATTTAGCCACAATGTTCGTTGGTTGATTCAAGTACCAAGGTTATATGATGTTTACAAAAAGAATGGAAATGTCAATTCCTTTTTGGAAATTGTCAAGAACGTATTTGAGCCCTTATTTGAGGTTTCAAGAAACCCAAAGACGCATCCAAAGCTATATGTTTTTCTTCAAAGGGTAGTGGGGTTTGACTCTGTGGATGATGAGTCCAAGGCGGAGAAACCAATTCAATCAAGAAAATACCCACCAGCAAGTGAATGGAATTTCACAACAAACCCACCATACTCTTACTATTTGTACTACTTGTTTGCCAATATAGCAAGTTTGAATCACTTGCGATTAAAGAATGACATGAATACATTTGTATTGAGACCCCATTGTGGAGAAGCTGGCGATCCTGAACATTTGATTAGTGCATTTTTAACATCCTATGGAATCTCGCATGGAATTTTGTTGAGAAAATTGCCATTTATTCAGTATTTGTACTATTTGGACCAAATTGGTATAGCAATGTCACCACTTTCTAATAACGCATTGTTCCTTACCTATGATAAGAACCCATTTTACAACTTTTTCAAAAAGGGTCTAAATGTGTCATTATCAACCGATGATCCATTACAGTTCTCCTACACAAAAGAGCCTTTAATTGAAGAGTATTCGGTTGCAGCACAGATCTACAAGTTGTCCAGTGTTGATATGTGCGAATTGGCAAGAAATTCTTGTTTACAAAGTGGCTGGGAAGCCACAATCAAAAAGCATTGGCTTGGAAAAAATTACATGGCTGGTGGTGTTGCAGGTAATAACATTGAAAAGACAAACGTTCCTGACATCAGGGTGGGCTATAGAGAGGACGCTTTAAAAAGTGAGCAACATTTGGTGGATTATTATACCAGTATCAACCGCAATGAAGCGGCCAGTCGTTCCCATTAAACGCATAAAAAGAAGAGTAGCCTTATATACGCATAAATGTTTTTTGTTTATTTTTTTTTTTTCATATATACTTAAAATATATATATAGATATATATACATATATAATTACATGATAGAAGAGCCTTTTTTGATTGGAGAAGTATAATGAAACGTTTCTTCACCAAAAAGAATCTATTCTTGTTATGAGATCTCAAAGCTATAAACTTAAGGATACAGAGGCGGAATATACCAAGTTGCCAGTTGTTTTAACTGTTGCAGGAAGCGACTCTTCTGGGGGTGCTGGAATTGAAGCAGACCTAAAAACGTTTAGTGCGTTTGGGGTCTATGGAATGACTTGTATAACCGCATTGACTGCCCAGAATACAACTGGGGTCAAGACTTTTGATAGAACCTCACAGAAATTGGTATCCGAGATTTTGAAAGCCGATATTGATGATATGTTTGGGTACGAGGGAGCCCCATTGAAGGTGATAAAGACAGGTATGTTGACTAGGGAGGCTATTGAAGAGTTGGCAAATTTGAACTTAGAATTGAAAATGATAGTAGATCCGGTAATGATTTCTACATCTGGAAGCGAATTGCTTGGAATTGAAGGAGTAAAGCTTTGCATGGACAAGTTGGTGGAGCGGGCATATTTGCTAACACCTAACTTTCTCGAGGCAAAAACGTTGTACAAAATAAAAGTAGAAGGAGGAGGAGGAGGAGGAGGAGGAGGAGAAGAAGAAGAAGAAGAAGAAGAAGAAGGTGAAGTACATGTTGCAAATTCTGACGAGTTCAAAAAGTTTGTTCTTAAATTGCAAAAACTTTTAGGATGTAAAAATTTATTGGTTAAAGGAGGTCATATACCATTTGAAGACGAGGAGGATAATGCCAAAGGAAAGAAAGTAGTGGACATTCTTTATGAAAGTGAAGAGGATGTGCTAACTACTTTTGAGTCAAGGTACATTGAGTCAGAAAATACGCATGGTACGGGATGTACGCTCGCCTCTGCAATTGCTGCTAATGTTGCCAAAGACAAGCTGCTTGTGGAGAGTGTTGCTATTGCAATTGACTATGTACACAGAGGTATGAGAAACATGTCAAAATTGGGATTTGGAAATGGACCTCTTAACCATACAGTACATCCAAAATCGAATATCGATGACGTTGTCAAGACGCTGGAGGGTGTAGAGATGGTGCACTTCCACAATGGTTACACTGTCTTTGATTACCTCAAATCACATCCAAATGTCAAAGATAATTGGCAGAGATATGTGCAACATCCATTTGTAAAAGCAGTTGCTCAAAAGGAGCTTGCCTTTGACAAATTCTTCCACTACTTGAAGCAGGATTATCATTATTTAATCATCTACGCACAAATGCATGGTTTACTAGCATCTAAGGCAACCACATATCAACAAGCACACGCACAAGCCACTATCATTGGAGAGATTGTAACCGAGATTGAAAAACACAAGGAGAAACTTAAAGCGTATAATGTGGATTACGATATTGACGAAGTGAAGCCTGGACAAGCTTGTGTAAAATATTGTAAATATTTATTAAATATGGGGCAGAAGGAAGACTTTTTAGGTATCAAAATTGCGTTGGCTCCGTGCTTGCATGGGTATGCAGAGGCAGGTGCATATGGTCAAGCTTTGAGAAGAGAGAATCCACGAGACTCTAAACACCTGCATGTTTTCCAGAATTGGTTGAACGACTATACCTCCGATTGGTACTTGAATTCTGATAAAGAAGGCAAGGCCCAACTTGATGAATTAACTGCTGGTGGCATAAGTAAAGAGCGTATGGAATCCTTGGTGAAAATCTTTAACGACGTTGTTTTGTTGGAGATTAACTTTTGGGACGAAGTTTTACAAGTATAGAGAGATAGATTATGTAACAAGATAGATTATATAGCAAGTTAGAACATACAACAAGATAGATTATATAGCACGTTAGATTTCCCTCTTGACTGCTGTTGTTGCGTATGTTGTTTGCTTTCCACAAACTAGGTTAATCAATTGCACTTGATTGGAAAATGAAGGAGAAAAGATTGTGAGGGGGCCACTACAAAACAAAATCTGTGATTGAGCCTGTTGGAAAAAGAGTCAAGAGCTAGTGTGCTCCACTATCTCGCTCTGCTCGATAGTGTCGCTGTTTTAATATGGTCTACCTATCATTGGCCCCCTATAAAGAGAGCCTTTTATATAAAAGCACTTAAAAGTTACTGGGACTCAATAATCAAATATAATTTTTCAATATGAGCCATACTAGATGTTATTTATATGATCAATTTCGGTTCATTATGTTAAGGCATTTTTTTTTTTCTCGTTTGAAAAGTTGCCCAAAAAAGGCACACAGTAAGTATACCACTATCTAGAAAGAAGTAGGAAGGGGGCTCATGTTCAATCCGTATCAGCAAACTGGGATGGGGTACAACCCAAACCAGCAACAGCAACAGCAGCAGCAGCCAATATACCCACAAGCTACTGCTTTTGGGCAGCCCAACTTGTACGGAATGCAGCAACCACAGGGTTATATTCAAACACAGCCTACTGGGTTTATCGGAGCACCTAGTGTGATTGAAAATCAAGAGCTTAAAATTCCCAGTATGAGGCTTTCATTTATTACAGCTGAGGATCAGAAAAAGTTTGAACATCTATTCAGAACAGCGGTACCACGAGGTGAGCTGTCAATCAGTGGTGATCTGGCCAGTAATATTCTTTTGAGATCTGGATTGTCACCGGTGGTATTAGCCCAGATATGGACATTATCTGACTTTGACAAAACGGGAGCTTTACTCTTTCCCGAATTTGCGTTGAGCTTACATTTGTGCAATTTGGTAAAACGCGGAGACTCTCTTCCTGGCGTGCTTCCAGAGAAGTGGGTCAATGAGGTGAAGAGCTTTATTGACGCAATCAACTTTAGTGTACCGGATGATCCTAACAAGATCCTTGTCAATACACCATTTGCTAAGAAGGATGATTGGATGACAGCAGCGCCACCTCAAGTTACTGGTATTCAAGCTAATAATTGGGGAGCGACAACATTGGCGCCTCAAGCAACTGGCTTTCAATCAAATAATTGGATTGCTCCACAAGGGACCGGGTTTAATCAAATTGCGCTCCAAGCTACAGGCTTCAATCAACAACCATCGAGCATTATTGCACAAGCCACCGGTGGGATTGGTCTACCACCTACTACCTCGTTTGGCCAACAAGGAAGCCTTATTCCCTTGAAGCCACAGCAAACAGCTGGCTTAATTCAAAAGCCTACTGTTATTCAACCACAAACTACAGGGTTCTTGTCTCAGCAACGCACGAGCGGTTTGGTACCTCAGATTACAGGACCACAGGGACCCAGAGTAGGTGGATTGTTACAGCAAACAACTGGCTATCAGCAACAAACAGGTGGTGGTTTCAACACTATTGGCTTGCAAGCGAATAGAACGGGGCCAATGCCGCAACAGCTAACCGGATATTTGCAACAACAGCCACAACAACAACAGCAGCAGCAACAACAACAACAACAACAACAACAGCAACAACAGCAACAACAATTACAACGGCAATCAACGGGATATTTGCAGCAACAACAAACTGGACTTTTGCAACAACAACAAACTGGACTTTTGCAGCAACAACCAACGGGATATTTGCAAGCACAACCTACAGGGAGACCTGGTGAGTGGGGATTTGTAACAATGCCCACAGGAGGAATGCCTGGGTTGAACACTATGCACCAAGTATTTCATCCAAACAATACTCAAAACTATCACGACCTCAATAAGGTTATGACTAACAATGCAGCTAGTAATGTCACTTGGGCAATATCTAAACAGGAGAAGCAAATATATGACAAATTGTTCCAAGCATGGGATACTGGTAGGCATGGTTATGTTGATTCTAATGTAGCCTTGAATGTGTTTACAAAGTCTGGGTTAAGTAGACAAGATTTGGAGGCTATCTGGACCTTGGCTGATACAGACGATGTAGGAAAATTGAACAAAGATCAATTTGCTGTTGCAATGCATTTGATATATAGAAGATTGAATGGATTGGAAATACCACTTAGGTTACCACCTGAATTGATTCCTCCCGCCGATAAGACATTGAGAGATACAATGGATAGCTTGAAGAATTCATTAAAAAACGGTGGCCAAAAACATACCAAAGCAAAGCCTCAAACCAAACCTGATGGAACTAGGTTTAAGAATGATGACAATGACTTTGGATATGTTTCGGGATCTAGGTACAGAAGAAAAGGGGATGGAAATCCCTCCAAACCCAGAACGTCGAAAGATTACGACCTTAGTATTGATGATATGAAGAAACTAATACGAGAGAAGAAAATCCTACTAGACGCAATGGATGTGGAGGATGAAGATAGATTATCATCCGGTGTCAACAAAGAAGTGGACCGATTGAAGAGTAAGATATTTGAGTTGCAAACAAGGATGGTGTCGTCTGCAGAAAAAAGTCAAAAGGCGGTTTTACTCGACCGCTTGCATCGTGTGGGAAGAGACAATATTCCAAAATTGATTGCAAGATTGAACAAGGTTAATCTGGAAATATCCAAGAAAAATATTGAGTTGACTAGGCTCAAGTTGAAGAAGGAAAACCCAACATGGGATGACAGTCATGTTGACTTGAATGTGACAAATGACAGAAGCAAATTTGACTTGAAGCAAAAGATGGCATTATTAACAGGAAAAGGAGGATCAGATTTAATAGATAGTAAATTTCGCAGTGCTGTTGAGAAAGCAAATGCAGAATTAAAAAGCCAGTCAGATATGGTTAATGAGATTGAATCGGGAATCAAGTCTTTGGAAGATGAATGTACAGCAAAGTTGAAAATATCAGCCAAGAACCAAGTGGGGTATGAAAAGTGGGAGAAAGGTTTTGGTGTAAGTAAAGCGGTTGCCGATTTCGTAAAAGAGTTGTCAAAGATTAATGCAAGAGCAGGGTCAGAAGCTGAATCAAAAGTAGAGTCAATAGCACATCCAACCGTACAGCCAACCGTAGAGCCGAGTATGAGTGCATCATCTGACGGAAAGTTAGCTGCCTCCCCGCCATCATCGTCCACTGCCATTGCCACCGCGACTGCCACTGCCACCTCATCGGTCTCCTACAGCACCCCTGAAGAAAGAGCTGCTTATATCAAAGCAGAAGCAGCAAAAAGAATGGCATCCAGACTTGAGAAATTGGGTATCAGTCGTACTAGACGTGCAGGTAGGAGTAGCAGCACCAATTTAGAGAAACCAAAGGATGTTGTGAAAGAAGGAAATCAGGAGACGTCCACTCCAGTGAAGAGAGAGTCAAGATACGATAAATCCGAAAGTAACGTAGCAGTAGAACCGGTTAAGCAGGTGCCTTTGCGTGTGCAAAAACAGCCAACAGGTGAACATTTTAAAAACACTGTAACTAGAGAGGAACCAGTTAAAAGTACAGCAGAGCCATTAGAACAGCAAAAATTGGAAAAAGAAACTGATGAGTTTGAGAGTACTAAGAAAGTTGCACCTATACCAGACATTGAGCAGAAACAGGTAAATACAGCAGCCGTATCTGATAGCAAGTACCAACCAGTTGCCAACTCTAAATTGGAAGTGCCAAGTGCCAAGTTTCAGCCAGAAGAGCCCGTCGTTAAGTCTCAACTAGAAGACTCAGCTGCCAATCCTCAACCAAAAGAGCCAATTGCCAATACTCAACCAAAAGAGCCAATTGCCAATCCTCAACCAAAAGAACCAACTGCCAACCCTCAACCAAAAGAGCCAATTGCCAATCCTCAACCAAAAGAGCCAATTGCCAATCCTCAACCAAAAGAGCCAACTGCTAGTTCTCAAATCACTTCAATGCCTAAAGAGGTAACTGAGCCATCTCCAGCTCTTCCCCAAACAACCACTTCAAGCCAGTCTCAACCTCCGGCAAGACATGAAAATAACCCATTCTTCAAAAACAAGTTTCAGCCTGTTGACACTGAAAAAGCAAATATTCAACGGAGCTTTCAAAGAGGAATCTCAAATGAAAATAGTTGGAGTGAGTCAGAGGACGAAGAGTCGGAAGACGATGCACCAAACAGAGCTGGTGCAGCTCAATTGGCCAACTTATTATTTGGAGGAGTGCCATCTCAAGCGACTGGGAATTCAAACACCATGCAAAAAGTTGACATTCCATCACAACACACCCCTGTCTCGAGTTCAGAAGAAGAGCTTTATTCAAGTCCTGTGGGAACTGACGAAGAAAATAAGCCATTTGATAATGGTAATATATCAAGTATTCCTCCTGGAATCTTGAACACCCTGGCAGAAGCTTCATTTACTCCAACACAGGCTGCTGCTCCTGCCGAAAATGGAGCTTTTCCTCCTCCCCCACCATTAGACGTTCCTGTGCCGCCACCTTTACCTGCGCTATCTGTAGAAACCCCACCTGTTCCACCTTCAGAAATACCACCACCACCTTTCCCTCCATCTGCTTCTGCTCCGCCTGCTCCGCCTGCTCCACCTGCTCCACCTGCTCCGCCTTCAGGAATACCTCCTCCTCCTCCCCCACCACCTGCTCCGCCTTCAGGAATACCACCTCCTCCTCCCCCACCTGCTCCGCCTTCTGGAATACCACCTCCTCCTCCCCCACCTGCTCCGCCTTCGGGAATTCCCCCTCCACCCTCGTTGGGAGAGAGTCTTCCCTCGGCAACTCCAAACATTGGGGCACTTTTGACGCAAATTACGGGAGGCAAGAGCTTAAAGAAGGTTGAAACAAAAGTATCAAGTGGAGCTGAAGTAGGAAGAGTACTTTAACAAGAGAAATGAACATTGAAGAAACAACAAAAGTAAAATAAAGAAAAGAATAGAAAAAGCAATGAAAAAAAAAAACATTCTATATAGATTATGTACAAAGTTTTCTCTTTCTTAGCTAGTTAGAAAGCTAGCATTTCTGTAGAAGTCCAACATTGGATTCTCACCATTTCTTGTTGTTGTCGCCTCTACATCTGCCCATTCCTCGAGAAACTTTTTATGTGTGCTGGTTTTTGAGACTTTTCCAGTGATTTGTCGGTACAAATCACTTGCTAATTCAAAGTTTGTAGCAAACATAATGTCAAAGTATCCCTGTTGCACCATGTATGTTCTCACGTCTATGGTTTCGCCGTTAATGACAGTTTGAACAACCGGTCCATTGTATCCATTAATGGTATTTGGTAAGTAATGAAAGTCAGAACTGATCAAGGAATGGTTAGGAAATTTGTGCTTAAGAATGTTGAAAAACTTGACCAATCTTGTAGGAATATACTCTGGATTGGAGAGATAATCGTTAAAGGGAAGTATCTGGTTCTTTATCTTTAGTCTGATGGATGATTCAAGAAGCGGATGTAGCGTTTTGTTAAACTTGAATTTATCAAGTTTACCTCGAAGGCTATTGGAATAATCCAAAATGGAGAAATTCCCATTTTCACGAAGATTCAAGTATGCAGTTGAGTATTGACTTAGCTCCTGCGTGAAAAACTGGTAGAAATCTCCTTGCTTATCAATCAACACCTTCCCTTCGAATGGCTCTCCAGTGTTCATGTCATATTTTATAACATCATGTGCAAAATTATCAAACACCTCTAATGCAATAAAAAAGCACGGTTCTTCAACAACCGTTTCCCAATCAAATATGGATTTGTTGAAAATCGATAATTTATCTGCACTCAACCCTTGACCCTTCAACTTTTTTCTATATGAATTTTCTTGCTTCTTTGCCAACTGACTTGAAATTTCAATGATATTGTACTGCGTGTTTTCATAAATCTCAGGCTCGTGCTTCTTGATGTAGCTTAGTATATCACACATTAGAGTCCCGTTACCTCCACCCATTTCGTAAATCACCAAATCCTCGTAAGGATAAATTCCCAACTTGTAAGTAATAAGGATGTATCTGGCCAAGCTTTCTCCATAATGAGGACTAAACAATTCAGTAGGCGTATGCCATAAGGATTTACTCTTTTCATAAGATTTGGACCAGATTTTAACAAATTCATCAACATTGTTGACTTGTGAATAGTTGAATGGTTTTTCTGGATGATAAATTTCCACCTCTTTCAGGAAATACCCATAGTGTTTGTTATACAACAGATCTTCTATAAAGTCGGAAGTACTCATGATAACTCCTCTTGGCCTCTCTTTTCTATTGAGTTGTTGTGCAGAGCTTAAAGTCGGATAAGACTGGTACACTTCATTTATTGATTTTTCAAATGGGAAATTCACTGCATTTTTATATATCATTTGGATGGGATTCAAAGTCTTCTTTGAAGACGGCACTTTGAATGAGTACGTATTTGGGGATATAGAATATTCATAATGCACCTTGGTTTGAGGTATATGAGGTTTAGCGCTGCCCTTGAACAAAGATCGTTTGGGGAGAAACATATTTCAGAGAGGTGAAAGTCTTTATTGCATTGAATTTGTTAGTGAAAAGTTGGTAAGTGATTTTGTCGCATAAACCCAGGTCATATACTGTGTAGGTATGTGTTTGTGTGTGGGTCGAGGGAGGCAAGGGGGGGGGGGGGGGGACTAAGGAAACGAAGGTTGAACAAATTTCCGCTGGAAGTTTCCTGGTGTATCAACGATAAACTTTGGAGATGAGAAGATTTAAAACCCACAAGATTTGAAAGACAATTGTAATTGTTGAAAGTAAGGGATTCAATTGTGAGAGCGTCTAGCTGGTAAAGAAGAACACCTAGCAAGTAAAGGAGAACGCCTAGCAAGTAAAGGAGAACACCTAGTTACTAAAGGAAAGCCACTAGCTACAAAAGATGAGTGTTACCACACAAACCCCATCATGTTATCGACTGGAGTAAAATCGCTATTCCAATAAGCAGAAGAAAGAGAAAGGAAGCACACATTATTATCCACCAAATCGGCCATAAAATTACTGTTCCTCGTATGGTAGCCATTACCCATCAATTAGGAGCTATTCACTACTCAATTGACTTTTCACATAAGCTGTATACGTTTAGAAACCAACTGATATCTTTAATAGTATTCTCGAAATCGCTTAAAAAAAGAAAAAGAAGAAAAAAAAAAGAAAAGAAAAGAAAAGAAAATCTGAGAGTTGAACCAACAAAAAACAAGCTAGTCAGTGCGGTTCGCTATCTCCTCCTGCTCTTCTCATTAATTTTCAGCTGTCATCTCTTCCTGTTCTCACTAATTTTCATCTGTCATCTCTTCCTGTTCTCACTAATTTTCAGCTATTGTCTCTTCCTGCTCTTGTCACTAATTTTCAGCTATTGTCGTTGTTTGGTGGTTTACGTATCTCTTTTATCCAACTTTTCCAGGCAACTATCTATTTACTCTAAGTTCTGTTCTACCTAATATCCTTCGACTCCTCTAGTCTGTTCTACTTGATATCCTTCGACTCCTCTAGTCTGTAACAAGTCTACAACAAAAAGAGCACATTTAATTTTTGCTTGTGAATTTAAATATAAAAACTAATATAAGATTAAAGTAGAAAAAAACATTGGAATTTGAAAGAGGTATTTTTTATTGGTTAAGCATCGTTGCCATAAAGATCTTCTTTCAAGTCAATACCCAATTCCTTTCTTACATCACTGAGCTCATCGAGATATGCTTGGTATTGCTCTGGAGTTTCAACCTTGTATTTCAAAGCCTCAAATGTTCTTACACCCGTGGGGTAATCATTGACTCTTCTACATGCTCTCAATGCTTTTTCAATCACCACGGGTGCTGGCACCAAATCGTAGCTAAAACAATTGTTCAAAATACGCTGGACATCAAATAAGTCGGCAGCGTTATCAAATTCATTCTCATAACGAGCAGTAAATTCCTCAAAAGTTTCAGATGTGTGGGCCGCACGTTTGGCGATAATACTTGTTGTTATCTTGGGGTAAATCCATCTTGCTGGATAAACGCACCTGGTTGCTCTAAAGTATCTTGTACTCAACATTTTTTTTTTCTCAAACTCCTATATTAAAATAATGATATATGGAAATAACACGCAATTAGCTTTGAAAAACAAGTTTCTAGCAGCTATTAATGGATGAATAGTTGATATCGACGCCAAATACACGAGACACAATACACGAGACACGAGACACGGGCTTAATTGCTTTCACACTCCTCTTGCAAAGATTGACTTGTGGAAAATGGAATTAACAATAAAGAGCTTTTATATTCTTTAATTTTTTTTTTTTTTTCTTTGCATTAAAAGCTTAGTAGCCTATTTGGACTTAAATTTATTGGTTAACCAAGAGCGGACATGCGCTACCACTTGTAAAAGAGTATCGTATGACTTGAATTCAATAATCGAGGGGGGAGGGAGAGAATGAGGCATCTTATATGTGAGTCACGTGGTTAACGCGGAAAGGGAAATGTAGGAAGATTAAGAATGGAGAGTGGAAGGTAGGTGATGAGTGGAAGGTAGGTGATGAGTGGAAGGTAGGTGATGAGTGGAAGGTAGGTGATGAGTGGAAGGTAGGTGATGAGTGGAAGGTAGGTGATGAGTGGAAGGTAGGTGATGAGTGGAAGGTGATGAGAAGGAAATGGTAGAGAGAAGATGAGAGAAGGAAGATAAAGGAATGAGTTAAAGGGGAATGAGTGAAAGAGAAATGAGTTAGAGGAATGAGTTAAAGGAATGTATAATACTATTTTGGTACAGTATTGTTCTTCTTTACATTCAAAATTTCTTCTATATACAAATTAGAAATGCCCTTATAACGTTCAAATTAGTAGATTTAACGCCATCAGTAAAGCATATTGGCAATATTTTCTAAGCAAAGTGTATTTCCCGCATTATGCCATGCTCCGTAGCCCTAACCAATAAATCTCTCTCGTTTCCCTCCCCTCGTTTGCTGTACACTATCTGCCACCGACACTATCAAGCAGAGCGAGAGAGTGTCATCGAGAGAGTGTCATCAAGCAGAGCGAGATAGTGTCGGTGGCACCTAGTATGCTCCACTATCTCGCTCTGCTCGATAGTGTCGCTCGATAGTGTCGCTCGATAGTGTCACTTGTTGTGTCGCTTGTTGTGTCGTTAGTGTCGTCACCACTTTGAAAAGAAAAAAAAAGTTGTTCCACACCAAAGGTTCTTTCATTAAGTAATCAATTTGTAAGCATTTGCTTATCACCTTACGAATTTGCAGCCATCATATCATCAACGCGAGCTTGATCAATCACATAGTTACATCATGAATTATACAAACTGGCAAACAGTAAAAGAGGACGAACTTGAGCAACATCATCACCACCAACAACACCAACATCAACAACAACAGCAACAGCAACAGCAACAGCAACAACAGCAACAACAACAACAACAACAACAAATCCCAACAAATCTTTCATTTAGAAATCCTGTTGTTTCTAATAGTGTCAAGAATCCATCATTGACAGGTGGGTCTGTGATTGATGCATCAACAACAGATCCCGCGTTATCCTCGACGCCATCAGCATCTGTGCGTAAATACAATCAAAAACAAATTTCAGGTACAAAGAGAGCCGAACAAAATCGTAATGCTCAAAGGGCCTTTAGACAACGCAAGGAAAAATATGTTCAGGACTTGGAAAGCAAGTCCCAAGAGTTGGACGAATTGAAAACAAAATACAAGAATTTGAGCAATGAGAATGTTCAGTTAAAGGATTACGTGATGATACTTCAAAGAAAGATTATTGAGTTGACGCAGGGTAAGGATATGCAGCATGAAAACTCAATGTCGAATCTATTTGGCACAAAATAGCGTACCGCCCCTGATGAGTCTTTTCAAATTCATATACACACATACACACACACATATATATATATATATATGTGTGTGTATAGTTATTTAAGTTTGTATTATTATTGCTTTTAATTCTTTTATAACCGACTTTTGTTTGTTATCCAAACAAAAGACGTTTCAAGCTACGTCTTTTACTCTCAATGGACTACTCAAAGGATTCCATATATGGCCAACTGTTTGCTTTGCCACACATGTTTCTAATCGAGGTATGCAAAACTGAGAAATCAGTTTACTCCTTGCCCAGACCAAAATATTTAGTCACGTGATCCCTAGGAACCTTTTCCCTTTTTCTACGAACCTCCGCGATGAATATGAATATGCCTCCTAGTTGAGAGTGAATCTGAGCTTGAAATTCACTTTTTTTACTAAAATTTTCATAGAGAAAGCATTAATATCTGTTTTCCTTATAACTCGCGATCCTCATCACGCTATCACCTAGCGCTTTTGCAAGATTTTACAGCCTGTCCTTCAATATCTTGCTTCTTGAATCCTTTTTCTTTTTCAGTATACTTTTGAGATTCAAAGAAGAAAAGAAAAAATTTTCGTTTTTTTTTTTTTTTTTCAATTCGCCAGGGTTAGCGAATACAATGTATAGACGAACTGCGATTGCTACATCCAGGAGGATTAGCAGCAGGAAACAGAGTACTAGTGCCGGAGGAATATGGTCAAACTTTAAAGATAGGTCAACGAGCTTGCAGCTAAAAAACGAGTCTATCAAACAAGGCTTGTTTCAAAAACTAGATCCAAACAAAGGTCCAGCATCACTACCTACCTACGAACAGAGACTAGAGTACCATTCGCCATTAGAGATAGACGAGACTTTTTCAATGGCATACAAGGTTTTAGAAGAGGAAGCTGAATCAAAGTACGAAAGTATACGTGCCTTGCAGAAACAGATTAATGAATCTAACCAAAAAGAAGAAGATATTCAATCTTTGAAGGATCAATTAGACAAAGAGCTAGTCTCTGCCGAAATAAACAATCCTGAAGTCTTATACAATGTCGAGTTTAATGATGCCGAAAAAATCGACAAGTCCCAACCGGTTTATAGACACCTTTTGAAACAAAAGTGGGAAAGTTACGATTTGATGTTGCTTATGCAAAGATTGGAGCAGTTTCATGTTATACCAGATACTTTGCCAACCTTGGTCCCCAAAGCTGATGTAAAAATTAAGTTCACACACAATACAAACCCCGAGTTTAACCACTGGGTTGAGCCGGGTCAGTTCTTACCTGCATCTGTAGTTTCACAACCACCAACTATCCGAATCCAAGAATTTGACAGAGTAGAAGGTGAGAACAATTTCTACTCGGTATTATTGGTGAACCCCGATACACCAAACTTGGATACAAACTCCTATATTACAACACTACATTACGGATTGTACAATGTTCCTTTGAACAACGTTGATAATACAATAGATGTATCAAAATTGATCAAGATTGGACCAAAAATCACCTTCAAAGAGTATTTACCATTGACGCCAGAAAAAAACGCTCCAAGCCAAAGAGCCTGTTTGTGGGTGTTTAGACAATCTGGAAAGATTGACAAGAACAATATTGTTGATAATTATGAAAAAGATTTTGATATCAGAGCTTTTGCAGAGGAGAAAGGTTTAACGGCAGTTGGTGCTCATGTTTGGAGACAGAAATATGATAGAAGTGTTCCAGCAGTGAGAAAGCAATACGGATTGGGCCAAGGCAGAGTATATTACAAGGAAAGAACTCACGACCCGGTTAATCTCTAATCGACACTATCGAGCGATACTATCGAGCGAAGCGAGATAGTGGAGCAGCTCTGACTGACACCGACACTATCGACACCGACACTGTCGAGCGAAGCGAGATAGTGGAGCAGCACTAGCTGCCACCACTAACCCATCTCCTCATGACCCATCTCCTCATGACCCATCTCCCATCTCCCATCCCCCATCTCCCATCTCCTCATCGCCAATTCTCAGTATGTAAATAGATTTTCAAAAACAAACGAAAAAAAAAAAAGAGAAAAAAAAAAATCTTTTCTTCATTTTGTTCATTGATAAGCAATAACGTTACTGTAGAAAAATTTGAGCTCTGACCCATGAATTGATTTGCTGAGAACTAAATGACAATTGAATTGGATGGTCGACGAAAACAATTGTTGGAGCTAAACTTGAAAACCTGGAATAATGAGTATTCGTGTCCTGTTGCCGCCAAGTTAGACTCATCGTTGAAAAAGAATACAGCATTCATTAAAAAGATCAAGACTAGTTTAAACTCCGAGCAGTCGGCAAATGTACTAGCTGATATTCAAACTTTGACTATTGAAAAGTATTTATCTGAAGTCATTGTTTCACTAGTGGATGGCTTGACAAAAGTTTCAAAGAATGATGAAATTGTTGCTTCTGTGGAAATCGTGTCGGCTTTGCATCAGCGGTTTGGGTCCATTTTCACGGGAGTCATGATGAATCAGGTATTGGCTCTTATTGTGAATTCAAGGGACGAGGAGGATGCAAAAGGTCTCACTCAAAACGTATCCCGCCAAAAGAATCTCTTACGTTTAGTTGGCGAGTTTTACGCTACAGGGGTTATAAGAACCGCTAACGATATTTGGGAATATATTGACCAAAGGATAGTCAAATTGTTTGCATTGGATAAAAAACGAAATGAGCCGTTTATAACGTTACTTTTGAAGTACTTGTTGAACTTTGATCTTGAACAGGGAAGATGTCTTAATTTAGTCCTGTCTTTTCTAAAGCGCTTTCGTCATTTTATTTTTGACCCGTCAAACGATATTCTTAGTGCCGAAGTGAAGCATGTGTTGAAACAAATATTCATTATATATACAGAAGCTATCATTGAAGTCACCTTGACTTTGAAACAAAAAGTTGAAAAGCTCGAGACTAGAAATAAAAAAGTTTCAATAAGAACAGGTAGAATTCAAGAAAGCGAACAGTTGGAGCTCCAGCAAACCCGCAACTTGTTTGAAAATTTCAAAGCAACTGTGGAGTTTTTATCCCCCATGGTGAATATCGCCTTGCCAGAGCTATTGTATGTAAACGAGAAAGATAAAGAAAATGAGGAGGTGGAGGAAAACACTATAGAAGTTGTTAAACAGAAAGCGATTGAGGATGATGTAAATGGTGTTTGGCAGGATGCCAAAGAGAAAGCATTTTACACTGTAATTCCTCTGTTGGAAGAGCTTATAGAAACTTACGACAAAAGCCATGATGGTGGCGGCGACACGAGTGTTGCTCAATCTTCTGGAGAGAAAATTCAAAAGTTTTTGGAAAAGTTGGAGGATGTTAGGTCCAACGACTTGGACCAGTTGGTTGTGGAATATTATCATTTGAACTTGAATAACAAGGCGACTAAAAACAGGATCATGAAGTTCTTTTTTGAAACGTCAAATTTGAACAATTTGAAGTATTACACAAGGTTTCTCAAGATCAACGAGCACTACCTACCGGATTTGATTGAGGAGTTGATCACTTACTTGGATAAAGGGTTCCGGTCTCAAATCTATCACGATAAGCTCAATGTAAAGAATATATTATTTTTTGTTGAGTTTATTAAATTCAAATTGATACCTGTTCATGTTATTTTCCACAAGATTCGAAGCTTAACAATGAATATAGCTTCAACCAACAATATTGAAATATTATCGGTATTCTACGACAATGTGGGAAGGTTCTTGTTGAATGAGCCAGAGTATAAGAATTTGATGAAGGAAATGATTGATTTGTTAAGAGAGAAACTGAAACAATCGAATCTCAAAGTAAATGACAAATTGGCCATCAAAAGCCTTCTCATTACTGTTGAACCACCAGCCGCAAAAATTCAACGAGATGTAATTAAACTTTCACCTCAACTGCAATTCATTATCAGATTGATTAGATCCGAGTTGGAAAACAAAACATTGCCACTTGTTGCACAACTTTTGAAGAAAGTAGTTGCTGATATTAGCAAGGAAGGATTTGAAGTGTTGCTAGACTGTTTTGCTCGTCCCGACTTGCTCAATTATGATAATATCCCTGCACTAGCTAGGCTCTTGCAAATATTTGCTGAAAAAGAAAGGAAAGTGATTGTTTTTACAGTTGACACTATTGTTGAGAATATCACGAGAGGGTTAGAATTGAATGATTTTAGAATGAACCGAGCTAGGATGTCGCAGGTCAAATATATGGCGGAGTTGTACAATAGCAGAATTATTAATTTCAAGTTGATTAATGATATTTTGTATCGTATTTTGTCCTATGGCCATCCACAAAACCACCCTTTGCCTAACAACTGGAATGTGGAAATTGACTTGCCTAAGAATTATTTTAGGATCCAGATGTGCTGCTTAATGTTGCTATCTTTGGATTCGATAAAAGTTGACACCGTAATGATTAAGAAAAAAACGCAGAAGAGAGCTTATGAATCAAAGAAGAGAGAAGAGGTGAATATGAACCTCCTTGGTGTTTTTGTTACTTTTTTTCAATACTATTTATACTGCAAAGAGCGTCCGTTTCCAATCGATGTGACGTTCAAGCTAGACGATGTGTTCAAAAAGTACGAGAGTGTGCCAACCGTTGTAAGATACCAGTCAATCAAGGAAATTGTGGAAAGGTTGGCTGAACTGGTGCAGACCAAAGAAGATGCAGAAACATTTTTGGATAACAATGAAGAGGCGATGGAGCCATCGTTTGATGGTAATGAGATGAACTCAGAAAGCACAGATGAGGATGAAGACGAAGACGAAGACAATGATGACGAGGACGAGGATGACGACGAGGATGACGACGAGGATGACGAGGATGATGATGAGGATGACGACGAGGATGACGAGGATGATGATGACGATGATGATGACGATGATGACGAAGAGGATGAAGAGGATGAAGAGGATGAAGAGGATGAGGATGATGAGGATGAAGAGGAAGAAGAAACAGTTGAACCTCTATCAGAGGCTGATAGAGCTATGTTAGAGGCGGAAAAGAAGTTTCAAGATGATTTAGATCGAGAATTTCAAAGAATCATGATTGATTCGTATGGCTCGTCGGCTCAACACCAAGATCGATCAGCAACAACAAGAAAAACCTTACCTCTTCCAAGTCAGGTACTAACTGATGAGAAACCATCTAATCCTCTTCCTACTAACTCGGGCAACAAAGTATCCTTTAGTTTACTTAATAAGAATGGTAAAACCCACACTATCAAACAATTGAATTTACCAGCAGACAATAAATTTGCTGAATCCGTTCTAAGGGAACAGGAAAACCGAAGACAAGATAGAAAGAGAATTATGAAATTGGCATCACAGATGGAGGATTAAATTGAATTGAATTCAATACGTTTATTGGTTCCATCTATCGGACAAGTCAATGGCGATATGGTAGTCATTATGCTCGATTGGATCATCGACCGGGAGATTACATTTTTTACAAAATTTTGTCGCTATTAAATCAGATAGGAGATCTAAATGCTGACGCTTTTTAAGAGTTTGGAATATATCTGCGCCTCGATTAGCGCGTGGCTTTACTTTGGCCTGTTTTGTTTGAGGACGATTTTGATCATTGTTATCTTTGTACTCTTTGAATAGGTTTGAGATGTGCAGCTTGTTTTCAGTGGATAATTCCTTTTGTTTTTTTGAATCTGCCGTCTCTAGTTTCCTCCTTTTAAATGCATTGTTAATCTCCATCAATTCCTGCTTCACTGTATGGCTGTCATCACCGGTTCTCTCTTTAACAAAAGATTCAATAAATGCGTTATCATGTAAGGCAACGAAATTGGAAATCGCCAATGACATATTTTGCATTTTCATAATCCTGACATCTTTAGCATCTCCTAAAAACAACTCTTTAACGGGCTTGCCACCATTCAAACCTGATAAATCAGTGTTGTGCTCCATATAATCTCTTAGCAACTGAAATCCGCATTCCTCAATAACCTGCTTCATTTTATTAATATCTTTATAAAAAGAGATGGACATTTGTCGAGTTTGTCTAACATACGCAGTCGATCTAATCCCAATTGTGATAGTTTTGGGTCTTCTCAATACTCCTCTTTCTCTTTTTGATACCTTTGTTATTGAAAGATCCATACTTTCATTATCCAAGTCTAATAACCGATTACTCAAATCTCCAGCAAAAACAGTCAACCATTCATATGCATCTTTCAAACTCGATGGAGAATTATCTCGAAAATTCTTGGTTGACGTCATTGATTTGACATCCACTTTAGATGTCAATTCCAGTGCACACAACCCTCGTACTATATGGTACAATTTACGAGCCAACTCTGGATCATCCAGCAACATCTCGTGTAACATATCGGAGCTATAATTTTCTCTGATAAACGCTATTGAATTCAGTTCTGGCGGTACTTCAAACTTGCGGATTAGTTCACTACCCAATTTTCCTCCAAGTCCTGTAATGTCAGTCAACTCAAAGTTGTTCAAGAACTTATTAATGGCACAATTTCGTACTATAGTTTGGTTATCTGGTTTTTTAAAGCCTCCACTTAACTTTGCAACTAATTTATTCCTGGCTAATCCTGCCGATGTTGTATACCCCAACTCATCATATATTGTCCGTCGTAGATCTAGAAGTAATTGCGAGCCAAGGATTAGTATCACATCATCCCAATCCTTGATTTCCGGCGACTGAATATCTTCCAAATCTGCAGCTTCCTTTTCCGATTCAGCAATGTAACCTTCCCATTGCACATCACTTGGTAATACACTAGGTATTGAAGGTAATCTTTGCTGCTTGTTATCAGTTTTATTGAGAGCTTCTTTTAAAGCGGGGAATTTTTCCAACAACAACCGATATACCGGTCTTCCAAGATCAATATAGCTTTCATCAACGCTCGCCTTTTCCACTAGATCGAATTTACTTTGAATGATTCTTAATACTTTCCTACTTTCTCGTCTATAACTATCTAAACTAACCTTATGATCCACCGGACTTGGAGATCCAGGATAGTAAGCCCAGTGGCTATCTCCCTTTTTATAAACTCCCGCGTGAGCAGCTACTAAATCGGGGCACTTTAGACGTGCCGAGTGTATTGTATCCATTCTTGAAATGCCAAATTCTCTAGCCGCGTAGCTCACAGCTATGATGGATTGCCATTGCTGACACACAATGGGGTCATCATCTGATAACCCTAGACGTACTCGCTCAACTTGTGCAAAAAAGGCATTTAAATCAACTAGAGCAATCACTGATAAGGGCAGCTTATAAGCAACTTGTGGGTCATTCAAGTCAAGCAAGTCTCTTATGGTAAAGTTCGAAACCTGTTCTGGAACAGTGGCTAATGATGTACCCAAGGAAACACCTTCTGCCGTCCTGACTGACATGTTGATATCCTCACAACAACAACAACAACAGCCACAACAGCAGCATTTTATGCAACCTCAACAACAAAATATGC